CTACTACTACTACTACTACTACTACTACTACTACTACTACTACTACTACTACTACTACTACTACTACTACTACTACTACTAAGACTACTACTACTACTAAGACTACTACTACTAGAACCAGTGGAGTAGTAGTACTACTAGAAGAAGCTTTTGGGCTAGTATTTGATCATTCTTACTACTAAGATTCTTTTTATTTCTTTGCATTTTTTGACTGAAACAAATCTTATCTTTCTCATTCTTGTAAATGGTGGCAACAAAATAATTTTCAAACAACCTAATACTAGTAGTAGCAAAGCTAGTAGCAAGAATAGTAGTGATGGACTGGTACTAGTACAAGAAGCATTCTGGCAAAAGGTCCCAGAAATATCAGCTTTCTTCTATACTTTTTTAGCTTATCTACCTAGTACCTTCTCTGTAGTAACACCCCTCCTTAGTAGCCTGGTGAATTTTCATCTCTTTTATTTGACTTCAAATAAATGCATTGTATAAATTTAGATAAATTACTCATCTGTAATGTTCAATAGTGGTGCTGGTACTACTACGACACATTTCAAAGCTGGTTGGTCCATTCACAGTTATGCCACAAAATATTGCAGGATGATTTGCATGCTTCTCTGAACAAGGAAAAGACTGCTCGTCCTACTAAGCCACTCTTGTGGAGGAGGCTCTAATACTATTGACATTTACTAACTGGCGATTGCTGTTTCCTTGGTGGTGAAAATATATTGTCTCCCATGTGTCAGGTCTATTAGAACATGAAAGGTTACTGAGTGTTCTGAGAGTCATGTTTAGAGGAGCTTCTGTATCTATCAATCACAATCCTGGCCATGTGAACTATATTAGGGACTAGCATTTCATCATTATATTGGTCCATTTTTCCATGTTTCTACTACTACCCATCATGATTCCCCATGATAGTGGAGTTTGCAGAAAAGGTTAGTGTCTTCCCTCAGTTTGGGGTTATGGTGCAGAGAGGTAGGATTTTCTTTGTTTGGGAATGACAATTTTTCTTCTTTGATTAAAGACACATTGGTTAGGAAATATTGTAATACACATTGGAACAACCTAACCTAGATTTGTTTGCAAGCAACTTCCTTCTTTCTCAAATGCCAGTTGATATATTTTGGTTTATCTGGAGCCATTTTGTAACACTCTTACAGAACTTTTTGCTGTGTTTTTGGATTGCTGTGTTAAGACTAAATAACACTGCTCCAGATGAAATGATCAATTTGCTCAGCTTTAATGGCGGTAGCCCATTTGCAAAGCTCCCTTTTGGCAACTAATGGCATGTTATGGTCTCACATTATCTTCATTAGCTTTATCTTTACCTTGGTTGGGGCGCATAGGTACCTTTTTCCAAGGGGTGTTGAAGTTGTGTTGACGTTGATTGTGCCAACAATCTACTGCCACAAGTTCCACAAAAGAATAAGTAAATACTACAATTTACCTCCTCAGCAGAATTTCCACTGTAGAAAGTGAAAAATTAAGACTACTTTGCTCATATGTAATAGTATCTTACATTAGTACTGGTATTGAGCAATGTGAATCGCTCCTACAATAGTTTCAGACCTGATAGTCCTTTCTTCCTCCCCATGACCCCGAGGTGTATAACATGCACAAAATTGATTGACTGCAGCCTTGGTATTAAATGACAATGCTTTCCTCGAGATCTGCGTCGGGATGTTCTTGTATATGACTACTGTTGTCAAGGCTGTCGTCGTTGTTACTGTCGTGAGACAATTCGCTGAGACGTTGCCGGTATGTCTGCAGGTCACTGGTACCATTTGTGTTGCCTGTGGCAGCAATCCCATCGTCCCTCTTTCCAAGGATTTCTCCTCGATGGAGCTTTCGAGCAAATACTTCCTTGCGCAGGCTTTCGTCGACTTCCGGATCGTCTCCTACCACGACACGAATATCACGCCAAATCTGCTTGTAGCCGTCGAGAGCTGGTGGGCGGGGGGCGCTGGCGCTTTTGTTGTTGACGGTGTTCTTGATATGGGTAGAAATAGAGTTCCTGATGCCATAACTTTGGACTTCGGTGGGCGGTATGGAATCGTCGTATCGACTGCGGTCCATCGTAACACTTTTGTTTTTGTAGAGAGATGGCATTGGGAATCCCCCAATTTTTCCCAGGTACTTCACTCGGTCGTCGATTTGCTCCTCTTTCTGATCGGTTTCGATTTTGGAGGCGTTTTCACTCCCGTCCAGATCGACAATATCCTTGTTGAATTCTGGTGTGATTTCTATTGGAAAGATTCTGTTCTTGCTTCCAACAACACTGCCCTCGGAAGCACGCTTCGCGACCTTCGGCATCGGAAATCCCCCGCCGAGTCGGTTGAGTTTGTGCAGAACTATTGCACGCTCGTCCAGGGAGCCCCTACCGCTCACTGTGGCTCTCCGGAGGCCGTTCGAAGCGAGCGAACCAAATCGGTTGTGCATGCCCGGATTCGTGCCGGTTCCAGCGGGGGCGGAAGCCACGCTCGAGGCGAGGCTCGGGCGGCGCTCCAGTGGAAACGACGATGTCGAAGCAAGACTCGATCGGCGTTCTTGCGAGAGGGAGGAAATCGAGGCGAGGCTCGAGCGGCGTTCTTGCGAGAGGGAGGAAATCGAGGCGAGGCTCGATCGGCGTTCTTGTGGCAGCAAAGAAAATGGTGCAGAAGCGTAAAGGTTGTTGGTCCCGGCACTCGCCATCTTTGCCATCAGCTGCGCGGGACGAGAGGCGGGAACGCCGGGCCTGTGCAGAGCACCCAGTTTCATGTTTGTGTCCAGCTTGCGTATTTGTTCCATCGCGTCACCGATGCCAAGGTCTCGAACCTCCTTGATCTTTTGCTCGAGCAACCGTCGCCTCTTGAGCGACGAGGCCTGCACGAGTTCGGACGTCGACGGCGGAAGGGAATTTCGTCTCAACATCTGTAGGCGCTGTTCGTTGGACACCGCGGCGCTGCTATCGAGACTGGAAGCCTTTTGATACCACGAAGGAGTGACGGTCGAGTTGCCCGTGGGAATCTCCTCCAGTGATCGCTTAAATGTGTTTTCTAAATGAAGTTTCTGGCTGCTTGGGCCCTTGCTTTCGCGACGGAGGGCGTCCATCGTTGCGCTATTGGCCGTGGAACTTGCAAATGTAATTCCGTCGTTCGATAAGGCTCGAGGGGACGGTTTTGCCGTCTTCTCCATCAATCCTGTGGTGGTGGCCCGACTCGCGATCAAGCCATCGATTCGGTTGCCTATCAATCCCGTGTTTGAGAACCGCCTCTCGAAAAATTGTTCCATTTGGTTGTCTCGCTCGTTCGAAGCACCGCTTCCGCCTATCTTTGCGTGGTTCCCAATCTCCCCAACGCCACCGTTTCCGTTTCCGTTTCCGATGCCTATGCTGTTGCGTCTTGAAACAGAACCCGTGGCGACAGCGACCGCCGTTTCCGCGAGCGTCGAGAGGTCGGGCTTTGTCCGTTCGTCCTCTCTGCGTTTCGTTGGCAAGACGCTGCTGTTGCCGCCGCTATGTATGGCTTTGGTACCTTGTTGCTGAATCGCAGCGGCTTTCAGTTGGAGTTCGGCTCGCAACATGTTGGCCTCTGCTTGCTGCTCATTTTTTATGGATTCCAGACGTCGTTTTATTTCAATGGATTCCTTCAGGTTTTTTGCCATTTGCTCGAAGTCATTGCTTCTCATATGTTCAAGAAGGTTTTGCTGTCGCTCCGAGATTGATCGGTCAAGATTTTGCTTCGATACGGAGAAGGAATTATCTGGTAGTTGGCTTCGTAATTGTAGTTGTCGTTGTTGCTGTTGTTGCTGTAGTTGTAACTGTATTGATAATTGCTGTTGCTGTTGCTGTTGCTGCTGCTGCAGCTGTTTTTGCTGCAAGTGATGTTGGAGGACAGACCTGCTGATGCCGTTGGCGTGGTTGCCACCGCTGTTGCTGTAGCTGTTGAACATGGTTTCCAAAAATTTCGTATAAAATCGATGTGGTAACAAGCTGTATCACCGTTTTCTAGTTTGTTCTGTTCTATATTTGTATAGATGTACAGCACTAAGCCGTGAATGCGGTGTGATGATTGCGATTATGGTATGGTGACGGGATACAACAGGTATCATCTATCGTTCACTGCAAGTTTCTGCTATTGTTTGCTGCAATTGACAACGACGATGACCGTCGAGCGCACCGACTCACGCTATGGATCGGAATACGCTATGCAATTTACCGGGCGGATGGAAATGACAGAGCGACTAGATGTTGAACAACTACTATCGCACTGCATTCAATACCGTTGGTACAGTTGGGTCAAAGGCTTTTCTCGGTGCTTTTGGGCTGTTTTGGTGCGTTGTAAAATTACGAATGTTTGTGTTTGCCTCAATACCGGAAAACGGTGCTCACGCAGCAACAAGAGTTCCGTTTCCGTTTCGGTTCCGACACGGAACAATAATTTGAGAAGCACACGGTAAAGTATGGTAAAACCAGCGGTAGACATCCCGAAATGAAGAAGGAATGTAATTATGCCTTATCATGTAAAAGAGCTAGATTCTGTTTATGGTCTGCCGGCATGTCTAATAAACATAATAGCTTCTTATACCTCTGTAGCGAGAGAGTGCTTGAAATAAAATTATCATTCGCTTGAAAAACAATAATTCTGAACTCTACTGGATTATATTAAAACCAAAAACTAGAATTTATGGTTCTGTCTTTTTAACGTTTGTTCTCCGACTACTTAAATATTTCGTATTACATGGTTTATGTAGCATTACTTCAACCTTGACTATAAGTGTTGGCATCTCGCTGTTTCTTCTCCGATTTAAAAAAGGGTTTGTATCATTCATTCTCAATACGTCATTGAAGGAAGTGTGACAAAAATGATATGAGTTTATCATTTAACCTTGCGCGACTAATCATGGCTTTGACATTCGTTTCACATAACGTTATTTCTCAAAACGATGACGAGAAGAATTGCAATCTTCCATCACTGAGGAAAGTATTCATCAGAAAAAAGGAGAACCACCGAAATATAGAATCGAGGACGACAATTACTGCTCTTCATGTTCTTGAAGGAATATCATTACTCAATAGCCTTTAACAAAAAACTCGAAAATATATCCCTCCGGACAAAAAACGAGATAATGGAAACAGTCATAGAAATATAATATATCATGATATTTCCAATAAAACTGCTGAGCAGTTTTAAAAAACAACATGATATTTTATTTCTGTACGGGACTGGTTGGAGCACTGAATGAGATCCCAAAAGTTTGTTGCTTTTTGATAGTAATAGTTTCGTTACACATGAACAGAATGCGCTGTCATTCTGGAGGCGGGGAAAAACTAGAAGGCTGAAGCGCTATAAATATTTACAATATCAGTACCGTGTTACAGTCTAGAAGAAATATTTCAATCCATTTTGTTCTTGATAATGGCTCCGGTACGCTCCATCAGATGAGGGCAGCATTCAGAATTCAGTACTATTCTACAGTGATAAGTATTGTACCTCCTGGTACGTATTGTACAACGCACAGAATTCTCCCGGTTTTTCTTACTGTACTGTACTAGTTCGATTAGCGTACCGGTACCGCCCACAGGTGTTCATATCGCGTGAAAAGGGGAGCGAATTTGGTTTTGCGCGTGAATTTAGAGTTAGGGATAATACTAAAATTCAGCTTGATTCCTGCCAAATTTTAGTATTATCCCTAACACTAAATTAATGCCCAAAACCAAATTTGCTTCCCCGCTGAACACCTGTGAGCTGGCAGTGGTAGTAGTACCTACCGTACCACAGGTGTTCATCTTGGGTTTTAGAGTGGTTTTGGCATTACTTTAGAGTTCAGGTTAATCCTATTCACAAAAGTCAAAATGGAAAATTTGATCTATCTTCACTTGGGAATGACGAAATTCTCCTATGATTAAATCAAACTATTCAAAACAAAAATTGCTAAAATGTCAATCGTCATTATCAGTGAATCAGATTGCTGGATTCTTACTGAAATATTAGTATTATCCCTATCTCAAAATGAACACCAAAATTGATGTAAAATGCAAATGCCATTTTTGGTCAAAATGAACGACACCTGTGATACTGTTTGTTTGATGCAGTACTACTACTAGGAGTTCCACATAGCTCCTCTAGTATGAGAAAAGGAACAATGCAAGAATATTGAACACCAAATCAGCCCACATATTATGAGACTCCTACTATTAGTATTTCAGTCAATTGGCTAGTACGGTGCACTGCACTTCACTATCTCTATCTTTAGTAGTGCGCCTAGCCAGTAACTTTGAAGAATTCTTTCTGCCCTGGACTTACCGAGGAAACAAAAAGAAACTTTTTTTAGTGTAGATTTGTACAAACCCCGGTATATTAATTTTTGCAAATAAATTAGTACCTTTAGTACCAAAATAAATTATTCATTTTTAACTTAAACATTCAGTCATTATTGTGACAACAAGTCATTCTACTGGCAATAACCTAGTTTTTGCACCGTAGTAAGTTTTTTTGGCCGCCGCCGTCCTTTAAAAAACAAAGGCAGCGGCTGCAACCAATCTTGCTTATCTGTTTGTTGGTTTCTGCCCTCTGATGCTTGGACCTTGCCTAAATATTGAGTCCCATATGCATTCAGTCTTGCAACACTGCTCTCTTTTGGACTGCAGAGACAGTGGCAAAAATTTTGAGGTAGTACGAGTACTGGTACCTGGTACAGTACTGAAACTGAAACTGAAAACCTTCGGTCGAATACGATCGTACCGTCGTGCAATGTAAATGGTATCCTCCTGATTACCACGTCGATCCATCACAGCTTTGAATGTCATCGAAGCGGCAACATGATCGACGACGATCTTGCTTCGCCCGAATCCAAACCAAAGAAAAAATGCTGTAATATTTACGATGGGAATCTCGACGCTATTGGCTACTCCTGGATTTCGGTCGGGCGGGGCATGATGATCATGTCCAATCTTTTTATTGCGCAATCTCTGTTGTTTTTGGCTGCGGATGCTGCGGGTTGCAACATTGAGGGAGAGACCAACAACGCCGAAACCTGCAAGAAGAAGATTTATGGATTTGTTCCATCAAGCTTGATTACCAACATTGCTGTGATTGGTGGAATAGCATCGGCATTCATGATGCCTATTTGTGGGGCATTGGTGGACTTCACGCCCTACAGACGTTTGGTAGGAATATCCGTTGCAATAGGATTGACTCTTATACAGACCGTTCAGATATATACCGTCGAAACCACTTGGTTTGCGATGGCCATGCTTCAAGCCGTTTCGGCAGTATTTTACCAATTGCAGCTTGTAACGCTCAATGCATATTTGATAGATGTTGCTCAGGACGTCGGAGAATCGAGAATGAACCGCTTCTCCACAAATTTCATCTCGATTCTATATGCCTCTCATCTCTTATTTATATTCATCGTTGTAGCTATCCAGATCGCATTCGGAACATCGGTTGTCTTGACAGCGCAAATAAGCCAAGGACTAAACACATTGTCCACTTCTCTGTTTTTTGGTGTTGGGTGGTTCGTGTATATGACGCCAAGATCAGCCGTACGCCTTTTGCCTGAGGGACGAAGTCTCATCACAGAAGGTTTTCGTCAAAACTGGAATACGCTAAAAAGCATCCATACCCAATATAGACATGGGTTGCGGTGGTTCTTTCTTGCCCTCGTATTTGCCGAAGCATGTGAGTATAGCACTTGTTGTCTCGTGACAATGATTCAACAATGCACTGCGAAACCTTTCAAACCAGTTAGACTCATCTTTACAATGCACCTTTTGTTCTATTTTAATTCTATTGCATGGCATTCCATCTTTACTCTCTACAGGTGCAACTGCAATTACTGTCGTATCAATTGTTTACTTGACAGATACACTGAAGTTAGACCCAACGCAAACTTCTATTTTCTTTTTTATCTCCTTGGTTGGGACTTTGCCCGGATGTCAACTTGGTTGGTGGGTGACAAGAAAAACCAATCCAAACACTTCATATAAAATGTCAATGGGATATTTATACGTTGTCTTGGTGGTTGGGGCCTTGGTATTGGAAGAGGTCCCGGCGCACTACTCATATGTCTGGGCATTCCTCGTCGGGGCCGGCGTGGGCTGGTTTTATACAACTGAATATTTGTTCTTTTCCACAAGTTTGCCAAGAGGTCAAGAGGCTGAATTGTCGGGATTTTTCATATTCTGTACGCAAATTCTAGTGTGGCTCCCACCTTTGGTCTTCACATTATTGAATGAAATCAACGTGCGACAAAAATATGGAGTCGTTGCCACTTCGTCCTTCTTTCTCGTAGCAATCGGGCTGTTGATGCTCACGAGCTCATGGGACGAAATTGTTGAAGAAGCAAAATCGGGAGTTGCAAAGGCGGCTGACATCGACAATGATACTAAAAGGAAACCTGACGGTGGAGACGATGACGTGAACGACTGCAGAAATGAACAAGACGTAGATGGAGGCTAATCATAATCACGAATTCGTAAGGGGAAATACATACTCAAGTCAAAAAATAACTCTCTTTCTCTCTTTGTGATGTTGGCTTGCATGGAGCAATGCCAGAATGAAATGAGCGAAATTTTGCACTGGTTGCATGAACACGATAAAAGAAACTTATTCTGAAATACGTGAAGCTCGGTCATGAATGGAGGCAATAAAATATGCCTATGCGCACGTTCCAGTCCTTCGCAACGATTGGTTATGTGAAGAATCAACGTTCTGTCATTCTTGTGTGCAAAAACATACTACTAGTGGTACAGTCTCCTCTAGCCATTCAGTAGTTGTAGTACTAGTACTAGTAGTCGGCTACTAGTAGTACTACTAATAGAAGCAAGAAGTTGCTTCACTGGAAGTTCTGGAATAATAGTAGTACTACTAGTACTATAACTAGCTAGTAGAACATCTCAAAGTACTAATTAGTGTTAATAGGAGGCCTATGTCATGTTAAACAATCATGAGGAGAAATGGAGTTTAAACTCTGGGGAAACAAGTGAAGTGAAGTGAAATAGCATGCCAGTTGCTTTCCCGAAATTCGCAGTAAAGTACAACAAAGTATTCGTTAGAGCTATCATTTCATGTGAACTGTACGTACGAACTAATAGTATGAACTTTTTGATTGGTTCCGTAAAAATAAAATCTGCCAATTAATCTGCCAATTAAAATTGACTTGCACTAAACATTAAAAATTGAAATACGGTACAGTAGTAGAAGTACGAAGTACTTCGTAAAGTCCACCCCAATCATCGACAACGTCGGGTCTAGAAACATCAACAAAAAATAGGGTGAACAATCACACGTTTCTGTTCCTTTTCCCCTCATTCGACACTCATACTTAATTCATTCAATCGAGGTTATCGTATGGAACTATGCTATCATTTTTTCCTCTCATGCTGTAGTGTCTCGTTGCTGAATACTAAAACACTACTCTGGCAGAGAGTGAACTGGCAATAGGTGCGCCTTTCCCACTTGCCATCGGAAAAAAGAGGTGACATACTCGCATACAATTCGGCTCAACTTGGGTGTTGTTGTCGTCGTCATCGTCGAGCATGTCGAAAGCAAAGCTTTCCGTTGGTTGGGGGTGCAAGCTATACGTGATCATTGCGGTGATTTTCCCGCCCTCTATCTACAGTATGACAATACTTCGAGTGGCCAGCTGGGTAAGTTTGTCTCGTTCAGATTGAGCACGACACGCACAAAGTCAGTGCTTAACCGCTTCTATACAGATGCCTTCGTTCCTAATGGATGTCTCGTTTCCCAACATAACAAAAAGAACCTCTTGGCTCAAGACTATGTGAAAGAATACAAATATCCATGGACCAGAAAGACTCCAGGATGTCTCGAATGGGATCACAGAAAGTCCTTGATTGTAGACAAACTTCTCGATAAAAAAGCTCAAATGGACATTGTTTGCTTGCAAGAAGCTCAAATGGATTCATTTTCTGATTTATTGAAAGACGTTTCACCCGTATTTGATGGTGTGATACAAAACGTAACAAGGGGTCATAATGTTGGTGAGTGCTCCTTGGCCTGAACTTACCTCCTTTTTAAAACAATATTTCACGCAGCGGATATTCTCACCATCACGATATCTCGGGCGTTTACTGTTAGGTACTGCTGTGTTAATAAGGAATTCATGTAAGCTAAAGTTGAAACGAGTGGAATCAAGATCAAGGGCATTGATTGCAACGTTAGAGGACAAAGACACCGAAAACAATCTTTACATTTGTAGCGTGCACCTTGACGCAGACAAGAGCACAGATCCGAAAAAGAGAGAACACCACCAAAGTCAACGTCGAAGTCAACTCAAGTCCCTACTGAAACGAATCAATTACGCATGCAAACAGGAGAAACAAATAATAAAAGAAGCACCAATACTTATTGCAGGAGATTTCAATATGCTGAGAGAAAATCCTTTGAACGAATTGCTCGTCGAAGGAAGTTTGACAACGTCCCCAAGTGCATATGTATCGCTTCGGGATGCCTACTTGGAAGCAGAACGACACGATCGGTTTTCTATTCCAGTGTATCACCAGTCAGTATTGGAAGGTGGGAATGATATCGGGGAAACGGCAAGTAATGAAAAGCATCTCGTGAAAACCTATAAAGGAGGAGCAATTCTTGATTACATTTGGACATCCGATGAGGTTAAAGTTGTTGACACGCTGTTGTACCATCCGGATTCGTCAACTGTAGGGACAGAAAAATGGCCATGCCATGATCATCCGTCTGATCATCTTCCTATTGGCATCGACATTGATTGGAACTAGGAATGCGCGTATCCCAATGACAACAATTTTGGACCTTGTTTCTTTCATCAATTTAAGATAAGGGGAATAGTTTTTTTCAAACTGCTGGACGAATTGAATATATTCGAAAATATCATTTTTAAGATAAAATTATATTGTTGGTAGTTCTAATACGTTGTATAGACAATGTGAAGCTTTCTTCGATTTTACTGGACGATGCATTGTTCTTCGTTGCCATTCTGACTTCCATGCTGGCTGACATCCAACTGGTCGGCTGTCCTATTCACCAAATTAAGACCATAAGGATCATCATTTTGGCATTCAAGGTTTGACACCATCGTTGGGATATCTCCAAGATCTGGAATATCCTCCACGTGACTCGAATTGCTTGATGCCATTATTGGTAAATCTGGAATTTCTTCAAAAACACTGCGTTCAAGCATATCGTCATCGTCGTCGTCATTAGTTGTCTCTTCGCCGTTAGATTCGTACGTGGGTTTCTCGGCAGCAGTCTCATTTCCTCTTGTTTCGTTGCTATCGTCTTTCCTCGTCGACATCGATTCAGTCTCGTTTGAAGTATGGCTAGTTCCGTCATGCTTCATGTATTTTGAGGTTTCATCTGCTGTCGGCAAAGAAAATTTGTTGTCGTTGAGCTCCGCTATTCCTCGTAAAAGAATAGATAAGTAGGAAATGGCCTCGTGTTGATCATTCTTGTTGTCCCAAGGTGTTTGTAAAGCCGTAGTCAGTGTCATAATACCTCCCGCCTTGGATAATTCCGTTAATCTGTCGTGGCTATGAGTCCCCGTACAAAGACTTGCAATAGCGCCGAATGCCTTCGATTGGATGATAGAGTTGTTAGGATACCTAGTCATGCATGACAAGAGGATTGGCACGGCACCTTCAGCATCCTTCATGGGATCTTTCAGTGTGTTGGCTTCTTGCTGTCGACAAATCGTGGCTAGAGCAGCACAAGCCGATTCTTGAAGTTTTGCATTGTGGGCATGATCCTGCATGGATCGAACAATTAGTGAAATTCCTTCCATTTCGCAGACTGCGATCTGAGTCTGTGGTTCCAATGCCAAATTTTCCAATATCGAGCAACAAAGTATTGAAATATTTTCGCAGTTTGAGTTCATTTCCATGACCTTCATTATTGTCATGACACCACCGCAACGAACGATTTGTGCCCTGAAGTTGAATCCCTTCCTCGCCTCGACTTCTAGTTCTTCAAGCGCTCTCGCAACGGTGTTCGTATCACTACTCCATACCTGCTTGCGCAACATTTCTGCAATCCGCTGCTTCGAGGACTCTGGGCATGATGTCTGAGAACCAACTGAGATGCCACTTTCGGACCGTCTAGAATTAGTAGATAAACCACTTTTCTTGTTTGAACTCTTTTCGGACGGCGTTCTTGAAACAGGTGAGGCCACTGCGTCGAAAAATGGTTCATCTGCATCGTCTTGATTTCCGCTCACATCGTCATCTTCAAGACTACCCATTGTAATCTGAGTCATCTCATCATCGTGAATTCCTACGGTGATAGTTGGAAATTTTTTCGTCGTGTTTGCTTCCGGGCTATCAATCGCGCTGTCCTGCTGAAATCGGGAGTTCTCTTGCTCCACTTTCTGTTGCGGGACGTTCAGAGGCATCGAAGTATTCATATCTTGAAAAAGGCGGCTACTAAGCAAATTCGACATAAACGGGGACATCATGTGGTCCTTCGGAGCGATTTCAGACACAACGGTTTCGTCGACATAGGAAGGCTGCAAGCTTTCTTCTACTGTAAAATCCATGTAACTCTGCTCCTCTTCTTCATAGGGCACTTGGGTACCAGGAAGCCCTGATTGAAGCATTGATTCTTGTCCAATAGTCAATTCCGTATAAATCGAACCATCGTCAATCTGCTTTCCGTCGATTGGGTCTTCTCTGAGAAATGCATCAAAAACATTAAAGCTCTTGCGGAGATCTCGTTGAATTTCTGTACCCTTAATGCTGGATTCGTTCTGATCTGGTGTGGCGGCCGCCTGAGATGGTGTGTTCGTTTTTTCAGCGGCTGGATGAGGACTTTCGTCACTTAACTTGGAGTCTGGGGGGGCTGCTATTTCGTCGACTGGCGTCGAAACATCGGCTTCTTGTGCAGCAGTGTCATCCTTATTGGAATCTGACGGTTCGGGGATAGGTTTCAGAGGCTCGGGAACGGAAACGCCGAGATGATTCGAATCAGCAGGTGTTTCTTCCGTGTTGGAAGTGCCGTCCGATTCTTTGCTCTTCGCGTCTTCTTGCAAAGATCTCGAGCTATCCTGCTTCGATGTCTTCATCTTTTTCAACCTATTCTTCCATTTGTTCGACTTTTGTTTGCCGGCCTTTTCGTGAACGTCGTTTTGTTCTTCGTTCGATTGTGGCACGCCATGAGAGTTCTCTTCGGTCAAATCCGAGATATCTCTATTGAAAGACGGGCGACCACTTAAATTTTCAGAGTTTACAGAATTCGTCCCAACACTGCTAGATGGAGAATCAATAACCATTTCTTGCGCTTTGTTTGTATCATTCTTTGCAGCCCCAACTTTGCTTGATTTTTTGTTTTTCTTCTTTTTCAGTCTGTCTTTCCATTTCTTCCCCTTGTTTGGTGGCATGCCCTGTATGATGCTGTCGTTGTTATCACTATTATCTGGAGGAGGCATCTCGTTTATCTGACCGTGCTCGTCGTCATCGATCGCAAAAGAACCGATGGCATCCCCACCGTCGACAAGAGGATCACTGTTCGAGTTCATCAGCTCTGCGTATAATTCTTCCGCGCTCTGAATTGGTTTCGACTCGGCATCTGGGGTACTCTGGTCGTTAGCGCTGATTGCTTCTGCTAAAGTCGTTTCTTTGGAATCGTTCTCTGTGCGAAGGCAATTTTCTTGAGTTGCATCGTCAGTGATTTCGGGGTCCTTGCGGAACGAATTTTCGTCCAAATCCTTCCTTTCGTTCGGCGTGCCTTCTGCCCCGTTGTTGATCCCGTTGTCTCGATTCGCACTGGCGTGTTCGGTGTCGCCGTCTCCGCTCTCGGAAGCTTTGTCCACCGCGTCTTCCACAGATGTCTCGGCCGTTGGAAGATATGAACTCCCACTTTCCGTCGATTCGGGAACCTGCCCCTCCTCTGCTCCCATTGCCTTGGATTCTTCGGTGTCGCCGCCATCCTTCGATTCCTCGGCAGCCGGGGTGTTCGCCCCGGTGCCCTCGGTCTTGTTCCGATCCATCGGGGCACCCGGGATGTTCGAATCCACGGATTCGGCGCCACTCTCTTGCTCCGTTTCCGTGACCTGCGAATCTTCCGTGGTATCTCCCTCCCTCGGTGGTTCGTTGTCAGAGGTCGGTTCGTTGTCAGAGGCTTGCTCCGTGCTTTCCTCGGCCAACCCAACTGCAATCGGTGGGTCCGTAGGCCAACTGCCCGAGGCTTCCGCAAGCTGTTCCCGGTCGCTGGCAGGCGCAGCGTCCTCGTCGTCGTCGTCGTAGGAAGTTGTTTCTCGGAGGGGGTCTTCCGTGGCCCGGAACGGGAGGCTCGCGATCGGTCCATCTTCTGCCTTCGTGTCGTCCCGAGGCACTTTGGAATTCTTTCCCTTTCCTGCCTTTTTGAGCAAGAGGCGACTCTTCCATTTCTTTCCCTTCTTGGACTTGAGCTTGCCGGGGGATTCCACCACGTGGTGATGATCGGTGTTCATCGAGGATACCGTGTCATTCAACTGGGCCTTCAATTCGATGTTTTGTTTTGATTCGCGTGGCTCTGCTTTCATCAGTGCTCTCTTCGTAGCAAGTGGATCGGGGTCCTCCGAGGTTCCGATGGTCTCGATGCACAAGTGGTTTCCGGTGTAAATCAGGCCCACGCGCTCCTCGAGATCGAGAGCCAGTTGTTTCCTCTTTGTTTCTACTTCGTTGGCAGCAATGCCGTCGTCTCGAGGACCGTCGCCGCCGCCGCCGCCGTCATCTTCGCTGTCCTTCTCCCGACTCTCGTGCAAAGCCGGACCCGGTGTTGCGGGTGACACTTCGGTATCGCTGTGGGTTGCGGTGGGTTGCTGCCCATTGGGTTCCAACCCCGTATCGGCATCGACATCGGCATCGGCGGGGTGGTTGCTATGTACATTCCCTGCCAGAGACGACACACCACCGGTTCCGTCGTCTTGCGGCAGGTCTGTGGCAGTGCCTGCCTCGGTGTCCAGCGAATCTTCCTTCTCGGGGGACGCCGAAGCAGAACGATCGGCCCGATCTGCTCCGGCCGTTCCGGCGGTACCGCTTGCGGCAGGATCCTTGGACTCTTTCTCGGCGGCGTTCGACCCATCGGCATCCGACGACGAATCCGACGACGAATCCAGCGACGAATCCAAGGACGACGACGCCGTGCCTCTGTTGCCGGGAGGCGGGTCGTCTCCCGGTTCGGTTGTTTCGTCGCTCTGCTCCGATCCCGAGGTGCCGTCGGCCTTCGATTCGTTGGTCTCCTCTTCCGGGGCCTTGGACGGTGGTGGAACAAAGACGCCGAGTTCGTTGTACACCGAGGCATCGGGAGAGGTTTCCGCATCCGGTTCGTCCGAATCGTTCTTTGGCGGCACGAAGATCCCCGTTTCGTTGTACTGCGAGACATAGACGCCGTGGTCGTTGAGCAGGTTGAGCGGAATGTCCCGGGCGCTCTGTTCCTGCGAGGCACGGGCGCGGGGGCTCTTGCCCTGGCGGGACCGCAGGGGAACGAAGATCGACCTGGCGGACTTGGTCCGGGCGCCGTGGTCGCCCTCCACCCCGCGGTCGTCCTCCCGGCGGGACCGCGACGAAAGCGAGTCCTGCAGGCTGCGGATCGAGCGGTTGAAGCTCGACAGCAAGAGGGTCTTCCGGGCCCTCTGCAGGGGGTCGGGACTGGCCGACGAGTCCCCCGAATCGTAGTCTCCGGCGTTCGAGGTGCTCTCGGCTCCTTCGGAATAGCCGGATCCGTTGCTGTCGTCGTGGTCTCCTGGTTGCGACAGAGACAGAGCTATTCGCTCTCTCATCTTTATGTTCTCCATGGAACTCTCGGATTCTTCCGATTCCTTTTCGTGTTCGGCATCGTTTTCGTTTTCGGCACCGTGCGCAAGGCCTCTCAGGGTCTGGCTCTTCCTGCCCCTCGGGGTGGCGAGGGGCAAGACCACGTCGTTGATCACGGAAATAATGTCCGTGTCGCCCGACTCTGTGGACGCCGAATCGGCGTCCATTCGCAGCGGCCACCGCCTTTTTTCCAGGCATTCCTCCTCGTCGCTGGGAACGGGTCGTATCGACCACTCGTCGTCGGTATCGTAGTCGCCGCTGGAACCGCTCGAGTTGGTCTCGTTCTTGTTGCTGCTGCTGCTGTTGCGGTTGTTCCCTTGCGACGAGGAGTCTCCCAAGATCGACCCTTCCGCCGCCGCGGAGGGCCTCGGCCGGCGGCGGCCCCCCCGCCGAACCGGGCTCGTCCTGGGGCTGGGGCTGGAAGGGCTCCCCGCCGGCCCTTGTTCGTCCCGTTCGCCGACGCCGATACATATCTCCCTCTCGTGGGCGCCCGCTGCGTCCGGGGTCCGCGCCCGGGTCCTGCCTTTTTCTTCGGCGGCGGCCACCAGCCGGGAGCTGGACTTGGTCTTTCGCAGCGGAGGGGCGTGTTTGGTTCGGGCAGGGGCCGCGTCCGCCTGGGAAGGATCGATAAAGTCCTCGACGGCTTCCATCACGGCGGATTTGTGCACGGCGGCGGCATCGCCGTTGGAATGGGAATTGGAATGGGAATTCGAATTCGAATCCCTCGAGCCCGAGGCCACCAGGTCCGTGAAATCGATGTCGTATTCGACGTCGCTGGGCCTCGGGGCCTTCGCTGGCGAGAGGCGCTTGCCCTTCCTCTTGCCGTTTGGGCTCGCTGCCTTCTCGTGGGCCGATTGCCTGTGGCGGGGCAGGGGAGACGGCTTGCGGGGCTGCGAGGAGGCCGAGGATCCCGAGTGGGCCGATTTCAAGCCCTCGCTGTGGTCGTCGCCAAGGGCTGTTGCCCCGTCCGGATCGTTGCTCTTTTCCGCGGGGGAAGTGGACGCGGACGTGGACGCGGACGCAGACGGAACCAGCGACAGCGATCTCGATCTCTCCTTCAGGACCATCTCCACCTGTTCTCCCCGCTTGGGCGTCGCCAGGGTCTCGACGTCCCCCCCCTCGCCGGCGTCGGCAATCCTTGCCGGCACCGACTGCGCCCGTTGCACCTTTGGAGCCTCGGGCCTTTGCGTTTGCGTTGGTGTTGGTATCTGCTCTGGCATTTGCTCGGGCGTGTGCCTTTGCTCGTCGGGGGAGGCCGGTGGTGGTGCCCGTTCGCCCGAAGCGTCCTTGTCCTTCTCTTTCGGTTCCTCGTCGGCCTTCTCGGGAAGGGCAAAGTGGTCGTACACGGCCTTGCGCTCCTGCAGCTGCTGCTTCCAGCTGGCGGCATCGACGCGCCAGGGACGGGACTTTCGACCCTTGGCCCGCAGCGAGGACGACGACGACGACGACGACGACGACGACGACGACGACGACGACGACGACGACGACGGGTTGTCCTGGGGGTCCCCTCCCAGGACGCCCCGGAGTCGGTTCGGAACGTACTTTCGGGCGCTCATGGATGTATTGTATGGCTTGTTTTGTTTTGTCTTTCCCTCCCTCCCTCCCTCGGGGTGGTTGGTGCGTAGGGTGGTGCGTAGGGTGGTGCGTAGGGTGGTGTGGTGTGGTGTTTCGTCCTTTGCTGTTTCGTCCTGTGCTGTCTCGTGTTGGGACGGGCTGCTCTGGTGCGGTTGCCGCAGCACGGCGGGTGGAGTCAACAAATTCTGGGTTGGAGAACTTCGATCGATGTTCAGCGGGTGCGATCGGTTACAGTATTAGTACAAATACGTACCGTACATAACTGGCACGGGCACAAACCAACTACTGTAACTACGAGTACTACGCTTCGTTTCGGACCAACGACTGTCAAGTGAACCAATTGTATTGTACCCGTACTCCACAATACCGTATTGCGAGCAATGTACCGGTACGCTACGCAGCATCGTACGCCAATTCCATCGAATCGATACAATACGAACGGTACGGTAGAAACAAGAAACATTTATTCGTTCCCTTGTTGCCGCAACGAATCGATGCACCCGCAAGCGCAGCGATTGCTGTTAAGTATTTGTAGAAACAGCCTCAGCTTGCGACGAAAGGGCATGCCCGCGCACGCCGCGGGGTACGTTGGAAGAATTTGAAATTAGAAAGAAACGGGAGCCTCGAACCGTACCGTAGCGTGAGAATTCAAAAAGCCGTGACTTGCTTACTTGACGGTCGATGCGATATGTTCCAAACCTCACGAACAGTACCGTACCGTACGGTACGGTACGGTACTACCTTATGCATGGGTCATACTGTAATTTAGAGGGGTGCGCGACGCATCGAAACTCATATTCCATCTGCGGCAGGAATACAGTAAGAAAATTTTAACCACAGGGATTTTTTTCTTTTTCATTTTTACTGCATACTAGTAAAACTATCCAACCTTTAAGCAGTTACAACATTGGGTGATTCCCGTTGCTATTATAGAATGATAAATTAGCATTTTTAACAATACAAAATATCTGGAATCAAAATTTCAAGGGACAGACAGCAAGGAAGGCAGGCTTCATCTCAGTTTTTTTGAGAATCTGGTGGTGGAATCTTGTTGAGGAATACTACTACTAGCAGCAGGTTCTTCTTCTTGTAATGAGGACTAAAAACAGGTCTGGGTAGGTACTGGCAGGGCTTTCTGTTGAATCTTACGACGGACTTGAAATTTTGATTCTTGGGTTCCATCATAGCAGATCTACTAGCACATTTAGAAAGGGGTCCAACGACCCACCATTCTAAATAGTACTACTAGTATGATGCTAAATCTACTATAACAACATGTGAAAGTAGAGTTTTTGTCTGTCTGTCCATCAAATTTATCATTCTTTCTATTGTATAGCATTGGTAGAGATTTTCCAGCCGTCTCATTTGCACACTAGGAATGATCAATATTCATAAATGTTTATTGATCAATACTTCTTGTTCTCTTACCCCTACTCCCCCGCGGCGTTAGAAAGCTCTTTCAATTCTCATTTTAACCATGGTGTGCTTACCATACTTAAGCGTCCGTTGGGGACAAAGTTATAGCTGTTCAAGTGAGTTGAACCTCTCTTAATGTTCTATGGGTTTTTCTACTCTGCGTCAATTTGTCAGTATCAACTTTCATAACTTCACCGATGCTACTACCCAAATATTTGAGGAATTCTTCCATTCCTACTATCAGCTCGAGGGCATTTATGCGGTGGTCAATTTCTTCTTGGGTCCTGTGGTGCCTGTTTTCTTGGTTTCCAGGTGTTCTCTGCAACGTCAGGACCTGACTACATTCAGCGGACAAAAGCATCAACATTTGTATGTACAATATACCAATGTACTGCTGACTGCCCTCCTTCTTTGCTGTGTGACGAATGGATTCAGAAAAATTTGTTCTAGGAAAGTCGTGATCAGATTGTCTTTGAACAATGGCTCTGTAATTGCTAGAAACGCTGTCCATCAAACTCAGTAAATGACCATTCATTCCCAAAAAGTCTTTGCAAAAAGCTTCTGTGGCCCTCTTTGCGCATCCTAGTTGGTGCATGTGAAACCTTTCTCCTGGACTGGCAAAATGGATACTGTACAGATTTACTCCAAAATCCAATTCATAAAAGGCGTTACCACCTTTTCTTTCATGATGAGACAGGTTTTTGAAATAATTGGCAGGATGCTTTTGCGCCCCAGGTTCAGGGCAGCAAAAATCATTAGGAGGAGTTCAGAGTCTTCTAACACCAAAAGGTTGACGGCCTTCCAAAACCCCCGATTCTGGTACAAACGTAAAATGACCCTCTTCATTGAGAATAGGCTCCTTCAAAATGTTAGCCCAAGCGCTGATGCTGAGAGGTCTAGGGCAATTGCAGTGGCGGCATAGCATTTTCATATTGGTGGATCAGTAATACTAGCCACAAAGGTTGTCATGCTGTGGGGTGTCACCAATAAAAAATGACACAGCAAATTTCAATTTGACACTCCAAATCTGTCCATTCCAGGGAAGGTTTGATCACTGCATGCCTTTGGGCAAGTTACATGCCTCTTTAAGGCTGTGCAATGTGGCTCATGAGCCTGCATGTAGATTGTTGACATTGTCAATGGAATTGTCAGCCTTGTCACATTTTCCTGATGGATGAAAATAGATAGTCTCTCAGGCGTCAGGTCTGGATGACTGTGTTAAGTCGCTGAAACTGCCGAGAGTCATATTGAGGGGTGTTAGGGAAGTGAGTCCACTGTTGTCAATGGCGATCCTATCCATGTCAAGGATAATCAGGACCATGACTTTATTCATTTCTGGTTTGCACTTTCTTTTCCATGTCTCTATCCACCACATTCTGCGGTGAAGTCCACAAATAATGTCATCATTTTCAAGTTGGGTCGTTCTGGTTAGGGAAGGAAAGGTTACCCTCCGTGACCAAGGTGACTTTGGTAAGTAGTGAATGCAAAGCTTTGCAAAACAACTGGATGTAATTTTTTTGGCCACAAACAGATGGATCAACAGAAGTTTTGCAGCGCCAGTCAACAACAACAACAGGCTCAAACTCAAGGCCTTCAATTTGGGGGGCTGTTTTGTATAATTCTTGCATCACAGATTTGCATGTTTTGAATAAGTTCCCTTGAGACCAGGAAAAGAGTTGTAGACTCTCGGCTTCCGTTGCCCTTTGATAAAGCTCTCTGTTGGCGGCAAGAGGAATGTTGTGCTTGTACATTACCTTCATGAGCTTAATTTTTACCTTCAATTTGTCAGAAACATGACAGTGACGATTCAGCATAGGTATAGGAGGGATAGAGAGTTCTTGTGGTGCCTGATGCTTCAAAACTGAAAGGGGATGGCTTTCACTGCTTTCAACGCCTCTGCCATGTGTATTCTTTGCATCAAGAATAGAGGAGGGGGGAGGTTCAAAAGAGGATATTGTGCTGTCAAGTTCATCCTACTACAACAAGACACGGTCAATCGGTGGAGAGGTTGGGTCAAACATAACCTGCAAATCAAGATTTTCAGGACCAGCAGAAGCTGGGCCATTTTGGGTGTTTGTCAGACAGAATTATGGTCAAAGCAAGCCTGGAATTTTCAAGGGTCAAATACAGAGGTCAAGAAATCCCTTACACCACCCAAACAATGACCTTAGTGTTAGGAGCAATCATCATTGTCACTGAGATGACATAAGAGCTGTCTATATGTGACAACACCATTTTTTGCCCTCTAGTTGCAGAATAAAATTTGGGTCTCTTGCGTTTTTTGTTCAGTTCTTTAATCTGTTGGTCCTTTTTGTAACATTGTTGGCAATACACTCTTAGCTTGGTGGATTGTCCCATAGCAACTTACTAGAGTGTTGTGGTTGTGGCCTTCTTGACGCAGGGAAGTGAATTGACATGTACCAAAATTAGATAAAAGGATATCAGGATAGGCACAATATTCTTTTTCTCAACACAACTGATTCTTTCTCAGGCAACCAATACATGATATCGTGCATGTGGTGAAAATACTATTGTTACCCAAAAAGTATATTTTTGAGAGAAGATATCATTGATATAAACAGATGAAAAAACAATGCAAGCCTGATATAACCGCCGGGGGTGAGTATGATAATAGAGGGTCCTTTATCGCGTAAGATGGAATATGACAAGTTTTGATGCAATGTGCACCCCTCTAAATTATGACCCCGCCTGCAGTATGCTACGTACGCATATCATACAACAATTAGTACAAACTGCTACAAGAATGATGTTGTTGTCATTGAACTGCTCTTAACTGCTACTGTAGAGTAGTACTATGTACTGTATCATACCGTACCGCACCCCTCATTTCAATAGGACAAGTTAACCGTAGAAGCCTTGAAGGTCCTATACTAGACCTCAATATCACTACTACTACTCAAATGCTGAAAATTATTACTAGTAAAATCATGGCTAGTAGTAACTACTAGTAGTACTATGGCCCAACAAGAGCAGCTGGTGGTGGTCTTTGGGGAAGAAAAGCTTGCTACTAGTAATACTACTTTTAGTGGTAGTGGTAGTACTAAGACCAGGAGTTCCCTGTTGTGTCATTCTTGTTCCATCATGATTAAAGCACAGTAGATCAGGGGGGAGCTGGAAGCCCTTTGTTACTAGTAACAGCTGGTAGGCTAGGTTTTGCTAGTAGTTTTTGGTGAGACCAGCTGCTTAACAATAATAGAAAATATGCCAGAACTTTATCAAAAAACAACTCAGCAACTTGACCACCAGACCAACCATCCAGTCAAAGATGGTGACACAATTACTCAAGGATTGGTGTTGCTCAGAAGCCAGCATGGGATGCTCTAGCAGCAGCTTGGAACTACTACTAGTATTATTCTGCCAAAGTTACACTAGTAGTAGTAGTAGTGGGTGGCCCAAATGCAGGTGAATTTTGGCTTTAATTTTATGTTGAAATAACTGGTGGTAGTAAAACTACTTGTCCTTATCATCACAAAACTGCTGGTGGTGGCGATGTGCTTGTACATGGATCACCTACTACTACATAGTAGGTAACACTACTAGCTGCTACTACTAGTGATTTCAGCAGCACCAGTGCCTCATTTTTGCACAATTTTTTTGGATCCCAGCAAGCACTTGATCATCAGAATTGTTCATATTGTTAGCAATCACACTACTACTACTAGTAGTAGTAGTAGTAGTAGCAGTAGCTACTGGTAGCACTAGTAGTAGTATTAGGAATAATAATAGCAGTACCTAGTACTAGTACTAGTAAAGAGGCAAACATCAGCAGCAAGTAGCAGGAAGACCACACAACAACAACAACAACAACAAGAGGAACAGCAATAACCACAACATCAAGAGGAAGAACAAAGAATGAGGATGATGAAAAGCAGAACATGAGAGCAAAGAAGAAAAAGAAGGAAAGGCAGTGGCAAGAAGCAAGAAAGAATGAAGAAGCTTATTGTTATTAGTACTACTACTAGTAGGAGTCTCTCCTGCTGGTACCTTCTTGCTTACTACGTCTGAAGAGCATACTGCTATATTCAATTTTCCTCTTTTGTGCATTATGCATCACAACTAGTATGCCTCCTCCTAATCTACAACAACAACTACTACTATTAGTAGTATTAGGCAGTAGTAAACTAATACTACCAGGAATACTACAAGAAACAAGAGGAAGAGGAGGTTCCTCCTCTACCCTCCAAGCCCTGCCTACTACTAGCACTACTATTAGTACTTCTATTGAAAATTTTAAAAGTACTACTACAGTAGTTCTCACAAACCTTCTATCCTCACCAGGCAGGAGGCTTTTGATTTTGAAAAGGTACTAGTACTAGTAGATGCTCACTATTACTGTTGCTTGCTTGCCAAGTAGCTAGTATGCAGATGTTGGTGGAAGGTAGCATACTAGCAGCATCTCTCAAATAAGCTACTTCCAACAAGAAATGGTGCCACCACCACCTGCTGGTGGTGATGCAAGAAGAAGAAAATGCATGAATGTCAAAATAATTTCTTTCCTGCATGTGAGGAAAGGAAAAGAATAAAAAGAAGCATTGTTCTTACCTTCCTCAAAATCATGAAATCCAATGATGACAAAATTCCAGAGAAGTCAAGACAGAGTTGCGGATGGGAGACTGACTTGAGTCCAAATCCATGACACTGAGAAGAATTTATTGCTTTCTGGTGCTCCTACAACAGTGGAGTGGTACTAACAAGAGGTACAGACAATGATTTCTGCAGAGTGACTGAGGATTTATTCAAAAGTAATTGAAGCATTACTAAAGTGGGGTAGGGGACAGGAGTTCCAAAAACAGGCATGCACATGTGAGAGCAGAGAAGAATGTCTAACATGCAATTTCTAGAAGTACTACTAGTAGTACTAGCACCAGCAGCACTAGCTATGACATCAGAGAACTTACAGGTAATGCCTCAACTCTAACCATCACTTCTTCTGGAAGCACAGAAAGAACCAGCAGTTATAACCAAGAAGAGCATATAATATAGTACGAAAGTAAAAGGAAAGAGACCAAGCTACTGAAAGACATGAAAAGGACTGATGAAAACAGAAGCTTACATTGCTCTTTGTAGCTACTATACTGCTAGCTACTATACTAGCTACTATACTACTAGTGAGTCTCAAGAGAGGCACTTGGAAAAGATACCACTGGAAATATAAATAGGGAAAAAAGAGAAGGGAGGCTTCTTGAAGAAGTGGTGTGCACTGAAGGAGAGAACAACTCAGAGTCAAAGCTTCTGAGTGCAGTAGTACTAGTACTACTAGTCTATGTTAGGGTCAAGGAAAAAGGCCAATCATGGTCTATTATTACCACACTGTAGGTCTTTCGAAAAGGCTCTAATTTTCACTTGCTTACTTCACAAGTTGTTTCCATTTTGTTTCTATTGTTACATATTACGCAATGCCATGAGCTGATTGATTAAGTTACCGTTTGCAGTTTCCTTAGCTTCATTTATTTGTTGGCAATGCAACATTTTATTACATCTCCACAAACCTTGTCGTCTGCGGATTGTTGCAAGGGCCAAACGGGCGGCCTCTTCCATTGGGTTGCTAACGGTCTGCTGATGAAGTTACCGTCTGCAGTTTCCTTGGCTTCGTATTTGTAAGCAATGCAGTATTTTATTGCTTCTCCATAAAACTTATGGTCTGCAGATTGTTGCAAGGGCCACGCGGCCGGCCTCTTGCACTCGGTTGCTGTCGGCCTGATCCTGCATGGATCTGGCGATCACTTGGATCCCTCTCATTTCATTAATGATTTTACGCGCCTCTGGCTCCACGGATGCCAATAGCTCAATAATGACGCAGGATAGGTATTGGATGGCTTCTTCTTCGAAATACTCTTCCATTGTTCCCAAGATGGCCACGATGCCACCCATACGAACGACATTTTTTCGGCTCTCGGATTCGCTCTCGATGATCGAGCGAAGAGTCTCCAGAGCCAAGGATACGGTCACTCTGTTGCAGCTGTAAAGATCGTTCCACAAAATTTCTCTGATACGTTTCCTGGAAGTCGTGGAGTCACCCCCAACCACTGTGGGTTTCTTTGTTGCTATTGCATGAACCGGAACGCGCTGGCTGTCCTTCATCTTTTGGCACAGAAGGTCACGGTCCCTTCCTTGTTGGAACATTAGGGCATAATCCATTGTAATTTGGGTCATATCATCATCGTCAATTTTGGAATTTCGATTGGCAAAGATGTGTAAAATGCTGTGCTCGCCTTCCTCTGGCTCGCGTTTTTCCTTTTGTGGTCGATCTGGTGCAATGTAGTCTACATCATCTTCTATATATGAGATTGCGACCGAGTTATCAAATATCGTGAAGTCCATATAACTTTGGTCGTCACTAGAATGCTTCGCAACCGGTGCAGGTGCAATACTTGGCTGCCAATTGGAAATTACTGTTTCTTCGTCGCAGATGGTTTCTTCATCATACAATGTTTCGTCCCCGACTATGGTATACTCCATGACGCTCTTGTCGTCCCGACTTACTACGCTTTCCTCCACGTATGAAACGTACGAGGGGCGTCTTCGTTTGATTTCGTTTCGACGATATAGTTCACGGCCCTTTTCATCCCCAATGATGAATTCCGTCCATACTGACTGATCGTCATCGTTTCCCATTGTGAGTAGATTCCCTGTTTTCTTATTTAGTATAGAATCAAACGAATCATGATTGATCGTGAAGTCACTTATTCGACGCCGAAGACCGGCAGGAAGATCCTTTGGAGACGTCACAAATATTGGCTTTTCCGGTTCCTTAGATTCTTCCTCTTCGATCAATTTCATATCTTGTTCACGAACTTTCGAGACAGAATATTTCATATTTTCATTTGCGGCCTTCTGCTTCGGGGGTGCACCATTTTTTGCCGCTCTCCTTGCTTCCAGTTGTTTTTTCCACTTCATTCCCTTCTCACTAAGGTACATCGGTTCTTCCTTTTCTCCTTCATCGAATGCAACAACTTCGTTATCCTGTGTTTCGAATTTGGTCACGAGTGTATCCCCACCATCGTCTTTCTTCTTTTCATTCGATGCATCAGTGTTCACGGATTTTGTCTCCACAATATGGTGATCGCCGGTATAAACAGTGGCGACCTTCGAATCTACTTCGTTCATAAGCGATCCATATTTAGCAATCCAATTCTCAGAATGCCGTTTCTGCAATTGGCTAACAATATTTGCCATCGTTCGCTCTTTTGCATCCATGAGCATAATATTATCATCTCCATGCTCACCGTTATTGATTGCCTCCATAATACAGTGGGCAGCAGTGGATTTTCTACGCTTTGTGGTATGCAATACCAATTGTTCGTGTGCCAAAAACTTGATACGTTCAATTCTTGCTCTCTCTAAATGAGCTTTTTCCTCTTTCGACATCTTCTGCTCAAAGGCCTCAATCTCAAACCTGGCTTGTTCACTGGCGAGTATTTGGATTTCTCTTAAGCGCTCTTTCTCTTTCCTTGTTATGGTTGATTTGCTTGCCTTAGAGGACCCAAGGCTTGATTCGTCTTCATTTGTTTCCTCGACAATGGATTCCATCGGTGGAACATATATCGATCGAGAGATACTCTTTTTCTTCTGCTTGAAAGAACTCGTACCCACAGCATCTATCTTGTCATCTGTGTTTTCCTCAATTTTAGTCTCGATTTTGTCTGATTGTACCTTATTTGATCCATTTTGTCTTTCCATGCTAGGACCATGGCTTGGACTGTTGTTGATACTCGCAGGAGGGATATATGAAGTAGAGGGTGCAGGGGTCACTGGTTGTTTTATTTTTTTATCATTTTCATCCAAGTTACGGATTACCATCAATGCTCCCGAAGAGAATCGATAGAACTTTGTCGGGTCGTCTTCGAAGAGGCTCCTTCGATTCTTCAGCATACAGTTTTCGCAATTTTGGAACAAATTGACTTTCTCAGCTAAATCACGCCCGAGTTCGACGGCCTCCAGTCTAGATGAAACGAGACCGCTAACAACCATCGAGTCGACCATTTCCTTTCCCACGAAGGTGCTTCGATACGTTCGGAAGAGGTACCTCCTATCTTTGACTAAAGCCAATTTATAGAAGATTATGGCCTTCTCCTCTAGTTCTTTCAAACCTATCGGAGACTTTGCATTCCTAGCTATGTACGTACGCTTTTTCCCAGCTTTCATCATGTTGACCGGATATTGGCTCTTTGTTTTTGTTAGATTCGTTTGTATTGTTCTCTTTTCGTTCTGTATTGTTGTGAAGGGTTGCGTTTTGTGACAACACGTCCGTTGATTTTTATTGAACAATTCGCTGGGAAATACGATCGAACGTCGCTGGAGAAGTGTTGGAATATTTTTTAGTCGTCGTCTGTGCAGTTTTTCAAACGCCTTTACTCTACATTGCATTCCGTTGGTCCCGATATGATTCGGTCTTGTCTGGAGTCACAAAATGTTTCATGGTTTGAAACCTTAAATTACGTACGTACGCTTTGGCATTGCTGTTACTGGAACTTATCAAAAACCAAAAAATGTTTTTTGTTTTTTCAGTTTTTCCCGGTTTTGGTTTACTCGTGCATGGTATCACACCTGGTGCGTACCGTACGGTACTGTACGTACTCGGACTCAGGGGTAATAATCTTAGAGGGGTGTGCAACGCTCACGTTTTTCAGCATCAGGATGAAAAAAATTCCATTCCATCCGTGGTACCACCAATAAGAAAAATTTCCTATGAAGATTTTTTTTCATCTCATTTTTACTGCATGACACTGCAAAAAAGTGTACCTGAAAGACCACATGTACAGGAACACTTCCAGCCAATCACTCTCTAATGGGAAACAAGTTTATGACAAGAAATTTTTCTTACTGTTGGTACCACAGATGGAATATCAATTTCAACGCATTGCGCACCCCTCTAAATTATGACCCCTGCTCGCACTCAAAACATGTTCACTCAAAAATTCCCTCAGACTCCTTTGAAACATTTTGTTACTTCCTTACTTGTCACTGTTAGAGGGAAGGCTATACCAGGAAAAAAGTAGTTGGATTTGGGACTCCTGAAGTTCTGGCACTACTAGAATTGGTGTTCTATCTCTACAATTGCAAGTGCCTCCCTTTCAAGAAGTTTTTCATCATCACCACCAGCAGCAACAATAATCCTTTCTTACTGCTGGTGTCTTCTTTGTCATCCTTGTCCTTTTGTTCTTCTTCTTGTTTCTCCAGTGCCTACTAGTAGTACAATTGATGACATGATGAGGAGGGCCCACCCCTTCTTGTTGTTGCTGCTGTTGTTGTTGTTTTTGGTCCACAACAAGAATACTAAGCTACATTTCCAAATACATATGATCATGAGTTGCATTGCCTCATATTCTTCCAAGGAATGCTCACACCAGTAGTAGTACTAGTAGTCTCCATGACCAGCTTTTCTTTTTCTGCTTTTTGAGATTTCCACTGAAGAAATGTCTCCTTTCACCACTATCTCTGGTGCTTGGTGAAGAACAGAACAGGCTACCTTCAATATATTTCTACCATGCCTAAATTTCATTTGGTGTCTTGCCTGTGACTGGTAGTAAACACAGGCCATAAAGAATGAAGAAGCAGGCAGTATACACCTTTTTCAAAGATTCTAAATTCATTTTCCCCTTCTTCCGAAGGTAGTACTATTAGTTGATCATGTACTCCAAGGAAACAAGACTGGGCATGTCAGAACAAAACATTTTGATTTTTCAATGTGATTTTCTATTAGTCTTTCTTTCAACAAATTCTAATTGAATGGGGATTGAAGAGCCTGGTGTGCCACACTCCTACCACTACTACTAGCTAGTAGTAGTAGTACTACTCCTACTAGTAGTACCACAGGATTATCAAGAACTGTTGCTCTTGTGTTGAGAGTGATAGTACTGAATGAATTCTAGTACCTTTAGGACTAGTACTAGAGTTGAATTTAGTCTGTTGGGACCAGAATTGACCTTGAGCTGGAAGAGGAACAGAGGAGGAGGAAAGGCCTTCTTGTTCGACTAAGTGGTTCAGTTATATAGTACAATACAATGAACCACGTGTCGCTTACAGGCAGCATTGGTACATGTGCATGTGGTACATATGGTATGTGATACATACGTACCGCATTTACGTACAATACCATAAAATTCATTAGTGTGTGTACCGGTACCACATGTATATGTACCACATGTATTAGTATTGTACCGTACTTCGTATTCATTAGTGGTATTGTACAATGAAGACATAGAATACTGTACAATGCCGTACTTCGTATTCATTAGTGGTATTGTACAATGAATACATAGAATACTGTACAATGCAAGTGTGAAGGTTAATCCCCGGTACATGGGATGGCAATGATGTTGTTGAACCCCGGCAAGAAATAAGTTTCTTATAGTTCAGTTCTACAGAGATCTGGCTGAAAAGTATAATTTATTGAAATTTGATTGGGTTACTTGTTGGTCATAGGTGACGTTGCTCAAAGTACAACATGCACCGTACTCCAATCACTTAGCCGGTATCAAGCTCTGCTTGTAAGATTATCCTACTATGTTCCTACTTTTAGTACACCTATGTAGGTACCTTGACTCGTACGCACTACTTTACTACTAACGATGTTTATCACGGAGAAGGTTGTCTGGGTCAGAAACGGAGAGGACCATCACACACCCATGCAAAAAGAGAAAGAGGTAGAGAAAGCCTGCAATAAAAAGATGGGAGTGCAACCAGGATTAATTGTCCCGCTATATCTAGCCCTGTTCGCTGTGGTGTCATACCATGCACAGTCCTTTCAGCCGCAAGATCGGAAGGTCGCGCCGAATGGAGGAATCATATTTCACAAGAAATTTGTGGATGGAAAAACCTCTGCACCACTTCAATCATCTTCATCGTTGCCTGCATCTGCAGTGCCAGATGAAACAACAATAAGTGATAACCCGTGGTACTCTCACTCAGATATCGGGCGTGACCGTTCGCATGTCCAAAAGCACTACAACAAGCTATCGGACATCTTCAAGCGTTATCCAGAAGAACAGCAAGACGAACTGTGCGCTGACGACAGAAAGGACGGTAATGAAAACTTAGCAGTGGATATTTCAAACGGATCTAAATTTCTATTGGTTTCGCCCAATGGTATGTGGTTTCTGAAGTCTTCATCTTGTCGTGCATTGCCTCTATATCTAACGGCTAGTCAGTTGGAAGACGTGTTCTCGTGTGCGAAGCTGAGTGAAGTTTCTTCGAACAATTTTGATGATGAGAATAATGTACATCTTCTCGCGTGGGTTGGAAAATATGACAATCAGGACTATTGGGTTATATATCTGAAAGCTAACGAGACCGGAGATCATGCAAAAGTATTATCAAGGCTTACCGAAGTATTCTCGAATGAATCCAGAGAAAGTTCTTCAATGTTGGATTGCAAACCCCTACGAGAATTCGGCGATTCGTTGGAATTTTCCCATGATGCAGGGATATTAGCCACGGCAAATGGATTGGTTGAGTTTCATAAAATCCACTTATTTTGCAGCCTTTGCGGTGGTGCCACAGAACCAACGAAGGCTGGGGGTAGCCGCACCTGCACCGTCGTTAGCTGCCGTAGATCCGTGTACCCTAGGATTGATTCAGCTGCTATAATGCTCATAACAAGTCCTTGTGAAAATTACGCTGTTCTAGGTCGCAAAAGATCTTGGCCACCTGGGCGTTATTCGACACTCGCAGGATTTTGTGAGGTTGGAGAAACCCTTGAAGAATGCTGTGTACGCGAGACGTTCGAAGAAAGCGGTGCAGTAGTGGATCCGAAGTCCTTGAAGTTTGTGGCAAGCCAGCCGTGGCCATTTCCTCGTTCTTTGATGGTAGGGTTTCGCGGAAAGGTTATGGCATCATCAAACTTGCCTGTTGAATCAGGGACAGCATCGATATCTCTACCAGAAATCGTTGTGGATACTGATGAAATGGAAGATATCAGATGGTTCGCAAAGGACTTCGTGAAGAAACGCCTGTCTTTGAGTGGATCTACGGCACTAAGTTTCGAACCAAACGAAATGGAAAAAGAATTCCACATACCTGGCAAGGCAAGTTTGGCCCGTTATATTATTACGGAATGGGCAAACGAAATACGGTAATAAGGATCAAACCTTCAAGGATAAAGGACGCAGATTTATAAAATTTCTCAGGTGCCGGAATCCAAATAAAGGGTTAATGAATTGCATGAAGCACAAAATGTGATACAAGTACTTCGTAATATGGAAGCCCATTCACATTTCAGGTTGAAAATAATATCTACATGACAGAAGAAGGAACATATTGCATAGTATTATTTCGTTATTTGCTTTCTCTTTTGATTTGCCTTGCTTTAAGCTGAGCACACCATGACTATTTCTTCAGAAGAATCGGAAGGCTTATTTTCATCATTGCTATCAGTACTTGCATTGACGCCATATTTCAAATCGAATTCTTTTTCCCAGACAAGATCAGACGGATCGAAGTCATTAGACTGAGCTGTAACCCCTCGTCGTTCGCGTTGTCTTGTACTTTTGCCTATCTCGTCATCCTCGGATTCTATTTTCTTTCGCACACATGACGCGATCGTAATTAAAGAAAAGCCAAGGAGTCTGACAGCTGTCAAGCCCAAAATCAATCCCAATGCAAGAGCAACAGACGTTAGCCATAAGGCAGTTTCAGGCGAATCCACAATTCCAGTACTCTCTTCTGAAGGAAAAATTAATTTATACCAAAATTGAGCGAGCTTCGATCCTGGCACGAGCTGATAAACAGCTGGCATCAGAAGAGACCAAACGTTTGTCTCTTGCGCCTCCACGGCCGCTTCTACCATAGTGGCTTCTTCTTCAACCGATAGACGTACTTCCATCTTATTTTTCCCTTCGGCTTTCGCAATTTCACTAAGTTTTTTTTTGCAATTTGCATGTCGACGAAACAATCCTCTTCCAAGACCTAAGGAACTGCCGACGAAGACCAAACATTCGTATATCTTGTTTGTCAATTGTCCGCTCCGTGATAGTTTCGTTTCTTCAGCGGATTTTCCAACGACAGAGAGGTTACTGTAGTGTCTCAAATTATCTATAAAGAAACAAACCATACTTGCAGCAAAAACGGCTGCCATTGCACCCGCCAGATCAGCAAATACAGTATCCATACCGTCAAACTCATGTGCCTTGTCGTAATATCCCATAACGCGATACTGCGCTTCGTACGCCGCCACTTGAACTAGAAGCCCAGCCCAGTAATTCATAATAATAAAGCGGTACTGACCCAACACACTGACAGAACAAAGTATGAACAGTGGAAGCCGCCACCACTTCTCAGAGAGATCTATGCTGTTACATTTGTTTGCTTCGGGATCGAATTGATTGGTCCATTCTTCGTAAACGGTTTCTGCTAATACCAGGGTCATGCCAACAGCCGAACCGACTGAAAGAACAAAAGTTTTCACCGATACAGCAAGGAAACGAGTCACACCAGTTTGAAGCTCCCCTGCAATAATCTCTAGCAAGCCGATCACAAATGCCGTTCCATAAAAGAACCTTCACGAGAACACGGAATGTCAAGACATGGAGATAAGTCAATATGAGTCAGACATCGCGGTATCGTCGTTTGATAAATTCTTCCTTGAGAAGAGCTTTTGCCATACAAGTTGGCTCTTTCTTAATTACAACTCACCAATACAATGTTCCTAAAAAAACACCCTTCAAACAGAGATCATCTTGACTACTCATGAAGTAATAAAACAAGCCTCCAATAACACCAGTAGAAACACCAATCAAGAAGTCGATAAGCATTTTTGAGTCATTAACGTTTGCGAAGACACGTTTCGATGAGAGTACTCCTTCAATCAATCCAGCAGTAAGACCACATACAGCCGCAATTCCTGCATCCACCCAATCCCCGCCAAAGAAAATGACACAGCATGTGGCAGCCTGGAGGGGATAAAGTACGAGACGACCTGGATTTTCCCTCAAGAACAAACCACTCCTGCTCGTATGTTTCCCATCCTTCAATTCCGATTGGAAGATAAGTGCATCATGAATACCTATGTGTCCTTCTATCAAAGCAACGGCAGCTTTTTCGTACATATCTTGGTATTCTGAATCGTAATCGTATGGTACTCTTCGCTGCAGTTCGTACAATCCATCTTCCACTCGAAATACAAGATCCGTCACACCTAGGTTCCAGCTCATGCGGAGTTGGAATCGATCTTTTATTTGTTGAAGAAGTCGACTCGTTAACAACGTCATGTGCCAGGCTCGGTGAAGTTCGACTGCAGTTCGGATCACGAAAACCACGGTCAACGCATATTCTTCTCCGAACTTTTCCTGCAAGCGTTTGTAGACTCTGTTGAGATCAGCTKGGAGCGTTTTTACATCGAATTTTCGCCCACTAACCCGACATGATTGGGAACTGTTGTCAGCGGCTAGTACGGGGGAAATAACGAGACCTGAAAGCAATACATTGTAATGCCACCGTAGATATTAGACAAGAGTTGGAGGGAAATGTTAGCCCTACAGTATGCCAGCTTGCGGTACGACAATGCAGTAAATACTATGCAAACCATCAATGAATCAATGAATAGAGTTTGACCTAGGCAACCGCAACGTGACAACGATCTCACTGCAATTCTTTTTCCTCTTTTTCACTTACTGGTCCTCATCTTAGATACGGTAAAATTTGAAATATGAGCATTGAATGCGGAAGTCATGGTTTTCTTTCGTCTGACCATGAGCGAAGTACTCGTACGAGTACGTACTTTCTCCAGCAGAATTCTCCAGCAGACACATACTAGTACTAGTCGTGCGAGTACGTACCAATACGAAAAAACAACTATTTTGTAGGTAGGTTCTACATAGGGGTTGACGATACCTATTTAAGTAGTAGAGCTATTAAAGGCAAGCCCCGTAGTGGCAAGTTATTGGCAATTCCCCGGGTGTCAATTTTCTCTCATTTTCCCGTCTTTATTTCCCCTCTCCCCCCCCACACACAAAAAACTATGAAGTCCTAAAATATTTCTATTAGTGCTCCTTACTACTGGGGATATAAAATCAGTGCTTGCTACTTGAGAATTAATATTAGTGCTTACTACTGGATCACCTCCATTACTACTTACTAGTTGGGATGCCATAGTAGTGAAAACTGCAAACTGCTGGGTAAGGGGGTTCTGTTGGTGCTGCTCTCCTCTCGCAGCACCAACAGAACCCCCTTACCCAGCAGTTTGCAGTTTTCACTACTATGGCATCCCAACTAGTAAGTAGTAATGGAGGTGATCMAGTAGTAAGCACTAATATTRATTCTCAAGTAGHAAGCACTGATTTTATATCCCCAGTAGTAAGGACCACTAATAGAAATATTTTAGGACCAGCGAGAAATTAAACAATGGAAATATTTTTATTTTCGTCCGTTGGATGCCTTTCTTAACTGGTTTTAACTGTAAAAATGAGCTAAAAATTTCTATTAGTATTTGTACGGGGATTGCCAATAACTTGCCACTACGGGACTTGCCTTTAATACTTCTAGTGAGGAATTGCAACGATAAGTTGGGTCTGGGCTTGAACAAAATCCTTGTCGCTGAGTTGGCGAAAAAATATCCTTATTGCAGCTCACGTGGCACGTTTTCAGTGATGCAATTTACTTAAGCAAATAAATATCCGGTCGGTCCGACGGGTCTGTCAAGTCTACTTAATAGAAGTATTAAAGGCAAGTCCCGTAGTGGCAAGTTATTGGCAATCCCCGTACTTATCGTTGCAATTCCTCACAGAGAGAGACGAATTAAGAGGATTACCACTCAACCTATTTTTATAGCCCTTCGAGGCTAGAAAGGGTTATATTTTTTATGCCTCGTATGAAGAACATACTACTGAACCACTTTGCAGGAACAGAGAATCTGTTCCAGTCCTACCGTACCGTACGGTATGAAGTTTTGTAATCGTCGAGTTGCTCGCTTTTCCCGTGTATTCAAGCGCACTAAAATACAAAAAGAGTAAATGTATCTCACGATAAGAAACTCAAGCTATTTTCTATTTTTTGACTTAAATTCAGCACCTCAATGGAGTACATACCCCTGGTACATGAATACACAATTCAAAAATTGTATTTTGGTCCAACCCAGTTTTTGCCACAATAATTCTAGTAGTAGTTTATCTGAACCACATTTTTGTATTGCTATTACTGTAATGCTGTATTATTTTATACTAAGCTACTACTAGTACTACTACTAGTACTAGTAGCGTCGTCCTCCGAATCAGCAAGCATCATCTCCAGTAGTACTATCATTATCGTCAGTAGCTCGTCCGAATCAGCAGCGTCCTCCACCATATCAGCAGCTCCTCTTTTGTATCAGGATCCTCTGTGGTATCACCACCAGTGTCCTATGTATCCAGCAGCAATTCATATCAGCAACTCCTTCTTGTATCGTCAGCAACTCCTTGCTTGTATCAGCAACTCGTATCAGCAACTTGTATCAGGGTCCTCTGTATGCAGCAACCTCTGCATCATCATCATCATCATCCTTGTCGTCATCATCATCGTCATCATCATCATCATCATCATCATCTGTATCTAGCATCCTCCTCCATGCTAGTATCTAGCAGCGTCCTCGTCCATGAATACAAGAAGCAAAAGCGAGCAAACTCAATGATTATGATGGTGGAAATAATTGGCAAGACTGCTCAGCACTGCCTTCACATCAGTAATGAAACTGAGGACAAGGACTTGGTTTTGGTGTCGAGCAAGCTCCTCTCAACCTCAACCTCATCCTTGTCCTTGGTTTGATTACTGAAAGTAATCTAACCTCAATCTCAGCCTCAGTTAGGAGAGTACTTCATGCAATCTGTATGTATTCTGTTGTCCGTAGGATATCAGACCGTGGGTATGATTCATACATACGACACATACTTACGATACGTATCTACGACTCATACACACMATACATATAYRACTCACGCGATCCCCTAGGATTCATATGATCGACGTGACTCRTCTCATTCACATGCGTGAGTGACTTGACTCATTCGATTCACATCTCACTCGATCCCCACAGCGATCCATTCTAGATTTCATAGTTCGTCGATCCTCGATAAGAGTATCGACTCACTTTTCTATTAGCATACACTTTACATCACTTTAGGACAGTCACTCCCACAGGTTATGATTCTCAAAGAATCCTTAGGGGAGATCAGTAAATTATGTGCAGTCTTGTGCTGATACACATATGGTGTGAGGAGTAGCTCGCCTATATTATCACAAAATTGTGACATGGGCAAAAATGGAAAGTACTGGTGGTACTGAACTCATTTTTATGGTGGACAAACAGGATGGATCAGGCTTGTTATTCCTGAGGAAAAGTGGTGAAACAAGAATTCTGAAAGATCTCATGAGTACCAGCACTACTACTAGCTAGTAGTGTGTAGAATGAGTGAGCACATTGATTCTTGCCACCCAATGACAACAATATAGCCCAAATTAACCTGCAAGTATTTCTTTGGTGATACTACTAGTACTAGTATGACTGGTGCTGGTGTGCACTAACCAGTAACCAATATTATGGTGAAAAAATTTCCTGCGTCCATAAAATGAAAATTGCTTGTACAGCAGCACTTTGCACTGCTGCCCAAACAGATTCTCAGGGAACTTATCCATGGAACATGTTCTCACACCAAACAATTCTCAGCACAAGTTCCATGCCCATTCTTTGGGTACAAATTATTTTTGCCTTCAGCTTTTCTCATTGAAACCAATCATGAGGAAAACTAAACAAGTTCCTCATGTACATATTGATGAAGTGTTCAAAAAAAAATCTTAATATTATATTTAACCTCGCGAACTAGAAGAGGCACTATGATGGCCAGAACCATAGTATTGATGAAGTGTTCAATGCAATTACTTCTTACTACTACAGTAGTCTAATCCAATTTTTCTGTGGATAAATATTCTGATATCTCTGTGCAATTTTGGTTGTAACACTTCAAGATTCCTTTCTCAGCTTTTCTCAATTCATTTCAGAGGAGAAACAACGTGTCTATCTAGTTCCAAAAGAACAAACTCCCTATGCAGACAATATACTCCTATTGTTCAATTTTTTGTTACTGCTATTGAAATCATAATTGTTAAAGATTTTACTATACACCCACTAATGCCCTAGCGTCTTTAGAGATTGGGTTCCCACAATTTAGTCTGGTTGAACATCTTTTCATCTTCACACAAATTTTTCTTCTATTATCTCTCTCCTCCTTATCTTCACCAATGTTGTCTTGATACTCTTTCATGAGTGCAACTTCAATCGTCCATTTCTACATGTCTTTACTTCCTCAACAGGTCTCATAAACAGCATACATCCTTGGAAGCTCCTCTAGCCTTCTTTCTTGCTTCCAACTCTGCTGTCTGTGAAACATTTTCAGGTTTTCTTTCCACTGCCTCAACTATTCCATGATTTGTTGTCATTGTACAAAAACAGGAGTGCAGCAACTGCTTCATCTTTCGGGCTGAAAATTGTGCTCAGTGCATCCTTGTGCCTTTGCCACTTGAACTCAGTTTGTTCAGGAGACACTGACACTAAGATCAATGTTACAACGTACTTGAATTCCAGAGTATTCTCTCATCTATAGCTCTGTTTCAACTAGAAGCTTCTTACATCGTCGTAGTTGTACCGTCAGACCAGAGTGCCTCACGAATGTACCGAACCATTGAATTGGATTTTAGAATCAAGACGTCAAAACTTTCTCGCTATTATTGTACAGAGTCTATTTTACAAAGTTTTACATGATACATCTATTGGCTGACAGAGTGCCATAGGTGATAAGATTCCTCTTTAAGAAGCGTGTGGCGCATTTGCCCGACTTGATATGCGTTGCCGATGCTTTGCTTCGCGTTGTCATCAAGCTTTATTTGGTCTTTTATGCCAGGGTGGTCCGAAGCAAGCAGTCGGAGAGCCTTGCACGCTAGGTACCCGTTTGCGAGCTTTGATTCTGCGTGACCGACACACACCAATAGCGTGTGATAAAGATCCTTGCCACCAACGTCTTGTGAGGTAACTGTTAAGAGCTGTGTAGCCATATTGCTCCCAGTGCTTGAAAATGATTCCGGAAAACAGGCCGCCACTTCTAATGACTGGACGAGGATTCGAAGAGCCAAATTAAAGAGTTCGTTCATGAATTCGCTGTAATATTGGGGAAGGTCAACGGCGGCTGCGGTTACATCTTCATCGACTTCGGGAAAGTAAGGGCGCATTTCTAGGTCCATGTCGTCGCTAGTGCTGCTAATGTTTTTCTTGTCAACTCGTGCAGCTTCAGCCAACATGGCACGATCACCTGGGAGTTCTCTCGTGAGTAACACGTTCAGTAGAATCGATTGAATCGTCCGTGCCTGAGAATTCATTTCAAAAGATGAAGACGGAAGTTTCCCTTGTAAAACAATCAGGGAAGTGGCAATGGCCGTGGTTCTCAAAGTTCGCTTCAAGTCTGTCATAGCTAGAAGGTGCTCTAGAGCTAGTCGACGTAAGTCTAGGCGGCGGGGCTGCGATAAGCATGCGTGTACGTCCCGAACAGCACTTTCTGTCATTTGTTCAGCTGTTTGAGACAAGAAAGGATGCTGGTGATGCTTCTCGGGAGATAAATCTTGGTTGTTAATGCTAGCGACAGCTCTTTCAGCGGCACATCGCTCGATCAAACGCTCTAGCGCCAACACGTCACTTGCAGTGACGGGTTTTGTGCCAGCGCTATCATTTCCTGATAGTACGCCCTTCGCTGCATCTACCAAGTGGCGAATCCATCGATTGGCGACCATATGATCTCCCTTGTGCCGTTGAAGACTCATGAAAACTGTGTCGTTTCGATCTGTGAAAAAAACAAGATATATTTCTGCGTTTTCTTGACAGGTCTGCAGTTTTGCTGACAACGGTTCGTGAATCAGTGAGGCTTGGATGCTCGACTCACGTAACTCCTTGGTGATACGTTCTAAGACCACGGGAAGATCTCGGGTGGGAAATTCCCATTGGATCATGTCTCGCGGAAAGTACATGGGAAACTTCTGAACTTGGATTTGGGACATGTTCCATCCGTAATATGTTTGCGACTCTGTATCCAAGACGAATTGTTGTTTCTGTTTTTGCTGCTGATTTAGTTCAGAAGGCTGTTTTTTTCTTTCTTGCTTTTGTTCCGGCAACCTCGGCATGATTTCGTCGCTAAAATTTTGGGGAGTGGCGACGTATTTGGCAGTTGCGATTTCTGTTGGCATCATCAGCTGAGGCCCTCGATTCGGCATCGCCATGGCACTACGGTATTATTAACGTTTTCATACAGGAAATCATTTTTATGAATAAACCAGTCAAACCGATTCCAGTGCGGTGTTGGAAACATTGAAACAAATGAGTATCCATTATACGAAACAAAAGATTTACTCGAAAGTCATGAAACGAAATACTAATTCACTCAATTTCTCTGAGTCAAAAATTTGGCGTACCGAAATAGTGGGGTCGACGCAGTTACGGACGGCTCTACGTTGTCGGGTTCGGGCATTATGTTGCGGCTCCTTTTCGGATCGCGCCGAATGCGGCCTCTCTTCAGTAAATTATCATCTTGATTAGGCTCTGGATCATTGTTCGGGTTCATAATAGAGACAGAGGAGAAAGGAGGAAGTACGATTCCATAAGGTTGAAAATGGAAGTAAGAGTGTATGATAGGAATACAGCTAGCTCGTTTTTTATGCGGTTCTTCATCGTCCTCCACCATACCGGTACTCGTACATTCGGTACGGCAAGGCAACATGTAGCACGGCTGTCAACGCGTACTTTCCGCACGCAAACATGTGCAACGCCTCCTTTTCTCTTGGTACGAACGCGCGGGAGAACATGTTTCCAAACCCGTCCGAAATATTCAGTTGCCGAATTTCTCGCCCGGCCCGAATCGTTAAGTAGACACACCGGCAGTTGATTGACGTGAAAGGGTATTCAAAATGATATTCCTGGGACAGCGTTGAAAAACTGTCGGGCAATATGTCATTGCGGGTTTGACAATGTCTCGTTCTGTTTTTTGGGACTTCCCGAGCAGCCTCGAACCTACATTCGGTACGCTTGAGGTTGGCTCCAGTAAATTTCTATCAATGTTTTCTTCACGTCACGTGTTGCTACAAAGGTACAGTACACACCGTACTAGTCCAAAACAGTACGAGTAATCGTACGGACATTACCTACTGTGCCATTGCTTCCGACTACAAGAACGAATCGTACCGTTTCAATAAATGTAGAGAAGCAGTTTAGTTGTCGTAGAAAACCAGACCTGCACAGCATCTTAAGTTACGTAATTCTACATAGGATGTTCTGTTCCTCGTAGTGATAGTAAATAAATATCGAGCCTTACAAATTAGAAATACTTGTCCTTGTTGCCGTTCGTTAAGTATCGTAGATCATACAGTACTCGTAACTCGTAGAGTAAGTGATCCGCCGTACGTACAGTACGTATTCGTACGCACTTGTGCTTGTACCTGGCACTCTGGACTCAGGCACTCCCGATATCGATAGTTTCACAAGGAAGGGACAGCATACCTTACGATACGAGTACTCGTATGTACGCGATACCAGGGGTCTAAAATTATGATCCCTGCGCGATACACGATACAGTACGGTACGGTACAGTAAAATGTAAAATCGCTATCGACAACGTTCTACCGTACTACAGTACCTGCTAGTAGTACCATGCAAGTACGTACCGATACGAGTAGTAATGATCTACAGAACGTACGTACTGTATTGTATTGTTGAGTCATCTCAGTACACTACTTACAGTAAGTACTCATACGAATTACCGTACTAAGCACGGGTCATAACCCCTAGTACAACGACCGCCGAGCAACCCAGCCCAGCCCAACCACAACCGGGCAACGAACGATACAAGGCTCAATCACAATTATACCAACCGGACAGTATCGTAGGTACGTACGACCATGCGTACGGGACTGTACCGTAATGTTCAACTAGAGCGAAGCGATTTTAAACAGAAAAAATTTGGACTCGGCGATGGATTTTTCGCTTTCTCGTAATTTTTAGTGCCATCATCCCGACTCGGGCCATGGAACTCCAGCGCTTAGGAAATTACTTCTAATGAGAAACAAAGGAAAAGTATCATATGATGGGAGTTAATATGGGAAGATACTCCAATGAAACAGTAACGTCGCCCGACGCAATATTATGTTATCGCCACAACGACGGCGATCCGTTCGAGTTGCGAAAGGAAACCGGAGAGGCGGACTCCGGAATTTCGACAATTGAAGCCGATGTTCTAGATCGGATCATAAAGGGAAAAGCGGCGCGAACTCCGGTACGAGGACAGGAGAACAAAACCAAAGAGCAGGTCTTCCTGTATCCACGGAATGATAGTGCACTTCTGAAGTGTTTGGACGATGCACCAGTTGAGAATGTTAAAACGGTAATGGGCATAACGGAAGACAACCAAGGTACCTGCGCCGAGATTGTTTGCTACAGAGCCGAACAAAATAGCAAAAGGCAGGAGCGCATGCATCTTTGTGGTCCTCATTCGGAATGGAGTCGCGGTTTGCTCAGTACTGTCGGTGATAATGATGACGGCGATGGCCCCTCTGAGGTCTCGAACACGAAAAGTAAGAGCACGAAGATTCGATGGATAGATCTACGCCACTTCCAAGAAAAACACAACACACGCACCGATGAGCCATTTTTATCGACGGAGGCGGGGATAGTCCAATTTTTCCGTTCGATTTTAACATCATCTCACGAGGCTTCGCCCTGGGCTCCTGCTGCAGAACCGATACCAACAAGCGATGCGAAACTCGATTCACCCGATATCGTTGTTTTGGTGCTAAATCATGACTCAAATAGCGCCAATGATATCACAACCTTGAACCTGTTGAAAGACTTCAGGGTGAGCGACGTCGCTCCCTCGTGGTTCTTTCAGAGTTTGACTGTTATGGAGAATTTGGAGCGAAATGTGATTGACTTCATTCGTCAAAAGGAGAGCCAAGGAGATTTTATGAATTGTTCTCAGTCTACGTTGCTGGTGTATAAAAAGCTACGCCCTCGCTCGCGCCTTAGCGCTACAAAGCCGGTAGCATCGAGCCTAGACTTGTGTGCTGAGGAAACATTGGGAATAGTTGGAAAGGGATGCCTCTGGGAAGAGTTGCAAGAGGAAGATGAAAATGGCAATGGTGACAGCCATTGTGACGAAGAAGACGACAATAGTGCAGTCAGATCTGCCATGCAGGCAGGTGATGAGAAGTGTCGGTATCGATTAGTATCTCCGCCCTATCTCAATTTAGACGAAGAATATCCCGGGGAAAATCTTGTAGCAAAACTTTTTTCAAAAGAAGCAATGCGAATTTTTACAGAAGACGCTCTCTCGGTACCCCAATGGACTCCCTGGCCCGAGACAACTCACTATCGAGCTTCTTCTTTTGGAAATGAGAAGCCATGGACAGTATTTCCTCTCTGCCATTGTTTTCCTGCAAATAAGCCTGAGAACTTTACGTGGGTACCCGCTACGAAAGCCTTCGTCCCACGAACTTGCCAGCTGTTGGAGGAAGTCCTCAGCTGCGGCAATGGGAAATCTTATCTCCGAACCGCTCTATTTTCCCAGTTGGCGCCTTGCTCGGTGCTACATGAGCACACAGGATGGGCCGATCTTGCAAATCATGTCCTACGACTACACATACCATTAGTTGTACCCAAAGATATCGATGCCAATGGCGGAAACGACGACTTGTGTGGGACGTGGGTCGATGGATGTGTCGAAACACATGCTGTTGGACGACCGCTCCTCTTTGACGACTCGAAGGTTCATCGAGCTTTCAATTACTCCGACGAGGTGCGGACTGTACTCATCGTTGATTTGGCTCGACCAGATAGGCTACCACTGGGAACCGCCGTATCCGGACACACCGAAGAACTGGATGCATTTATCGAACAAATGAGCACGCCGAAATGACAAATATTACGCAAATTATTGACGATTGAATCTAAAATTCTAAATTTTCAGTATCTCTGACTTTTGTTTTGGGTGGCGATTACCAACGATTTGGCCTCTTCGACTCGACAGAACTGGAGTGCAAATTGTTGCCTTGCAGCTCTATCTACTTACGTACTGCGTTTGAAAAAAAAAATGGCTTCTGTTTTTGCCCATCGTAAACCGACCGTGGCAACCATACCTTGACACCTTTTCAAGTCTATCTTCGGTCGTTCGGAGATGAATGCCACTCAGGTAATATCAAAGATGTCAGCGCTACTTAACAAGTGAGGGCAACCTCAGTAGTGATATGATCAAATATACGTCATAATCCTGACGGTTACAAACACGAGTAACTTGTACAAAGCTAGACAAAGTGACACAACAATGATCGTACGAAGGACAGCAAACGGAGATCATGAGTGAGCTGTTGCCTCTACTTCACATCAAGAAAGTGAAATTTTAACCGGGAGAGTAAAGTAGATTTTCGATATTAGATGAATGATTTCTTAGTCAAACTTCGAAAACAGCGGGCTCTTTTAATCGTGCAAAGAAATTACAGAGGTAACCAAGAGATCAAATGGTCAACTTGTTTCTTCGGTTCAAATTATACTTCCCACGGTCTGTAATCACGAAGCTCAAAATTGATGGCACTTCATTCCTCTCTGTTTCTTGACTACGTCATTTTGTACCTGTGAGCATTTCTTCCAATCTGCTGGAGGAAACTCTCAGATACTGCAACCGCATAACCAATCAAACACTCCCCTTGCAGAAGATAGCGATGCATTCAATTTTTTTTTATCGCTCCCAGAACTTGAAACCAAAGTAGTAGAATGTGGCCAAAAAGGGAGCTACGAAACCACCTCCCCAGAACCACAAGTTGAAGTTGCGCTTCTTCGCAGCCAATTCTTCCGCGGTCGGTGGTGGAGGACGCTCTTTTAGGGATAGGGTCATCGTCGTCGATTCTTCGAAGGAAGAGGCAAGGTAATTGCGGACACCATCTTGCAAAACAGATGTTGGGTTTCCCTGTTGAATGGTGTCTTGGGTGACGACTACGGCTGGTTGGGCAACCGGAGTGGCGGGGACTACAAATGCCGAAGCAGCGCTTGCGAGTAGTGCAAGGGAAAGGACAAAATTTTTCATCATCGTGATACTGGTTCCTCGAAGGTTGTTGGTACTATGACTCCCTCGGTGTGCTGAACAATGTATTCGAAGTCGAGAGGCTTGTACTTTTAGGTTCAATCCAGTTGGCGGTTCTCGTACCGGTACTAAGTTCTGTGTCAGTGCAAGCTGTGTTGTTTCTCGTGTCACCAGGTTCCTTCAATGATGTAAGTAACGTTATCGTACGAGAATCCTTTACTCACAACTGGGGTGAGCCAATCAAAAACAAAAATGACGTTGTTGCGATCTTTCCGTTATATTCATTGCATAGTACCTTCATACCCTACTATCTATAATTTGAAAGACAGGTGTGGTTGTGGGTCCTGGGTCCTGGATCCTGGATCCTCTGGTGAGTCTTGGTAAGGTACCAGTTCTTAGTAGTACTAGTAGTAGTAGTAAGAACTGTTACCATAATTTTTATTAAGTACTTCCTGTAGTAGCTCCTAGTAGTACTACTTTATTTTAGAAAGGGAATCCAATGGTGTAAAAAGTACTACTAGTAGTACTAGTAGCACCACCATCTGATCTTTTTTCTACTGGTACCAGTCTTCTTACTACTAGTACTAGTACCTTTGAGGACGAGGAGCGTGGCCACCACCACCAGCTACTACTACTAGTAGTAGTACTTCTACCATACTAGTAGTACTACTAGTAGTACTAGTACTAGTAGTAGCTATGGAGCACCACCAGTTGTTCTTGTTGTTATCACCAGCATCTACTACTACTAGTAGTACTACTAGTACTAGTAGTAGTTCTTGTGGCAGCAGTACTAATACTGCTTCTTCAAGCAGCCACCAGCAGCTGGAAAACCATGATAAAAAATATTATTTGGGGACACGCTGGTGCCGGGGGTGTCCTATTTCTAGTAGTACCACTAGTAGTACTAGTAGTACTACAAGAACTACTAGTACTACTGCTAGCTAGTAGTACTAGTAGTAGTCTGGTGGTGGTGGTCCCTTTATGATGGATACCATTTTATGACTGAAATAAACCACATCATGGGATCTATATTCCCACCAGCCAAGATTCACCAGCTTTTGATAGTACACACCACCAGGAGCAGCATGATACTCCCATGCCAACCAATACTAGTAGTAAGTGATCCTGCTGTTTCTGTTGGAAACACCTTTGTAGTGTGAAAAAATTTACATGTGCTGGCAAATGGTCTAAATCTATTTCATACAGTATTTACGAAGTCTACGTGCGAACTTCGATCACAGAATTTCGTTAATTGCAACGATGCAGTAACAGCGATGATCCACAAACCTAGACCTGATGCTCATTTAGCATGATTGGAAGGTAGTGTTTGAGGTCTTCAAAACATTATTCCGAACGTCAACCTAGCAGGAAACTGATGAGGACCCTCAATCCAGAACAGACGGCATTCTAAACAGTTGAGTGGTAAAAATTGTTTGAGAGGCATATACGAGAACAATAGCAGATACAAGTTCAACAAACGCTCGGCAATCATCACAGATACGATTTAGAGATCGATCATGACGAAGACGGATGGAATTTTTTTCACTCCATCATCTTTACTGAAAAACCTGAGACAAACAACATTGGGCTCGGCAACAGAAAATGATAATAACGATGACGAGAGCATAAATGATGAAACCAAAAACTCTTCTGATGATCTTGGGGAACCTCTGCCGATCGACCTTCCGCTCAATGACTTAGCTCTTTTGAATGAAGAAGACATAAGAAATCCCAGTCTTTTTTCGGAACTTTACTCCATGGCTTACGTGTCTGCTGGTGAGTGTGTCTGGATTTTTCTAAAATCTGTGCGCAATTCACAACCGTTGTGTTGAAACTATCTGAGGCATTGCTTCGGCGTGGTCAGGTTTTGGTACGGTGGGAGTGAATGAAAGTGATCTGACCTTTTCTCATTTGTTCCTGTTGATCACTCTATGAATGTTAATGCTACAGCCATTTTCGCTTTGGCGGACGTCCGATCAGCTGCTCGTGAAGGGATAATCAAGGTTTCAGACGAGTGTTCCATCCAAAACCTTCCCGTCACCACAGAAGACATTATAGATGTATTTGGTGCAAACGAAGAACAACTCAAACTCATTCTCAAAGAGGACGACTTTTCACTGTTGAAAAAGCTATCGGAAAGAACTGAGATGCTTAGGAACAAAAATACTCCCGACAAACCGAACGCATTAACTATGGTCCTGGAGTGCACACTTGATCATTTCGGTGACGATAATGTCGCACGCGATTGCGTTTATCTGATCTTTAAGAACGATCTGAACAAAAGGATTACGCTATGCTTTCGGGGATCAATTACTCTGCAAGACTGGATAAAAGATAGCAAGGTATTTGTGGATAACATTCCCAATCCTGTCGCAGATCGACATGGCCAGGCGCCTACCATTGGAGTTCATCAAGGATTCAAAGAGTACTTGTACGGAACGTCAACATCTTCTTCTTTTGGAAGTTTGATGGAATCGTCCAGTAAAAGAGAGCCGGATTCTGCTCCTTGTAGTGTTCGTGATGCAGATGAATCAAGAACAAACATAAATTCTTGGAAATTCAATTCCATCGCTTCGGCCTTTCTGAAATGGAAAGAGAAAGTCAGTAAGAGTGAGGTCGATATCGGAGGTAGTGTGAATAAAGACATTACATATGCTAAAACTAGCGACTCTAATGACGTAGATGATGGACAACGTAATGATCATGGCGACATGACTGGTAAAGTCGAGAAGGAAAAATACAACAATGACATTGGGGATAACGATGAAAATCCCCGTAACGCTGATCCTTCCGAAATGCCAGGCAATACTGAAAATCCGAACGAGGATGTTGCTTTTCCTCCTGTTCACAACTGTAGATTGGACAAAATCCTAGACGAACTCGAGAGGCTTCGTAAAAGCTACAATGATTATTCTATTTATATTACTGGACACAGTCTTGGGGGAGCACTGGGGCTCCTGACAGCTCTGGAAGCAGGGAGCCGGTTTGGGGAGAAACATCTTCCCGTCACCTATGTCGGAATCGCCAATCCACGCGGAGGGACGGTACGTCAAATTTTCCGTACTATATGATAGACATTTGAGTCAAATCGGCACTTTCTTACCATTTCATTTTTGCACGAGCACAGGAGGGATTTCGGGATGCTGTTTCTGTTCTTGAGAAAGAAGGAAAATTGCGATGCGTTTGTGTTCACGGTGTTCATGACATTGTTCCAATGATACCTGCTTCCTCATTGAATAGAGCAACAAAAAAGAGATTCTGTCAATCAGGGATACAAATGCTCCTTGAGAAGGACAAACTTGAAATACGATATTCTCCAAAACCCGACGACAATTATAATAAACGTGTAAGGAAAGCTCTTAGCTCTGCTCACAAAATTAAAGAGAGGCATCACTACATAACATACTTGAACGAACTTCGAGGGTTTTCGAAAGCGCTTCGGGAACTTCATATTAATGATTACTACAATATGATATATGAGTCGGAAATATTCGTACCGTCAGAGAGGAAATCAACCCCAATGGAAATCAAAGTTAACACGGACTGCGATGCGTGAGACTGTGGTCAATGCGAAGACCATGACTATAACAGTGATTTTGGGAGAGAAAAGAAAGGAGCCAACGTTCCGATCGATCCCCTTCAGACGGATACTCACGTCAAAAACATTTTTCCAAAAAAGAAGACCCTTTACATCAACACATTGCCGGTAAGCACAACATTTTTCTCTCGATCTACTATGCGCAGTAGTTATGGGGTCTCTTAGTCGAAGTTTCATAGCATGTTGAAACAAATACTGCCAGCGTAATAACGCATGGTAATTATCGAACTGTAGTAACCAAATTACTTTTTGAGCTGCAGTCTTCATATGTATGATATGTGCAGAAAGGAGAAAAAATTTACTTTTTTTTTAAGATGGATTAATTTACACACACCAGCGAGGTGGCACTCAAACAGATACTACTGGTGAGGGCAACCGACAAGAAGTAAGCCTGAATTGACTTCATCACTTGAAATTATTTACTGTTAAAGATAGCACTCTGCATTGAATATTGCTACTCCTGGTATTAGTATGCTCATTGTCTTCGGTCCTTTATTCATGCGATTCTCAAATAACCAACATCATTTGTACAGATGCTTTTTATGGGATAAATGTCTTGAACACATAACATAACATCATATCATATCATCATACTGGTAGTCATAGTAGCCTGTTGGCTACCGTGCACTGGACTACCACTTTTCACTTGTGCACAGGAGTCAGTGACCTTGAAGAATTCTCACTGCTCTGGACTTTGGGGAGAAACAAAAAGACACTTGCTTTTTGTGTAGAATCCACGTAAGCACCAGTATCCCAATTTTTTGCAAATAAATTAGTACCCTGACAAAAAAAACATTGAATCATTATTGTGACAATCATTCATTCCAATATTTAAGAGAACCAAATTGCTCCCAAGACTCAAGAAATCAGTCATATTTGTAATTGGTCATTCCAAGATTGAAGAGAATCAGATTGTTCCCAAGACTCAAATAAATACAAGTCAAATTTGTGATAGGTCATTCCAAGAGAATCTAAATCCTCCTGAAACTCAAAAATTCAGTCATTATCATGATCAGTCATACAGATATTAAAAAGAGCCCAACCACAATAAATAGGGATAGCTTTGGCTATAATAGCTATGACAGGCAACTCATGCCATGTTGGACAAGTTTGATTCCTACAAAAAATGCTGCCAGTTCCTCTTCAAGAAGTTGGGGAACAGCATCATGGAGCATAGCAATGTCAACATCAACGTTGGCAGCTTCTACAACAACATTGAGCCACCAGTAAATAGGGCAACTACTACACCAATAAGGAGTCATTGTCATGATTGGTAATTTCAAAATCAAACTGATTATTTATACATGACGAAAGAGAATCCCATTCCCTTGACTTGATTAATTCTGTTGCAAGCAATACAACCATCAAAGCAGAAGTGGGCAAAATCCCCGGACTACTACTCGCCAAAAAACACATGAGCACGACAAAAATATTTAATGTTGTGAACTAGCAGCAGAGGCATTAGGGAAAGTGGAATCATCACTTCTTGCTAAGAGAAGGTTCTTCTTGCTTCTGCTAGTTGCTGTGAGGAATAGGACTCCTGGAGGAGGCTGAGTGGGTAGAATAGATGTACAAAGGTATGCTGGGATTATTGAAAGTGTTGTTGTCTCTTTTTGGAGTATGTATCAAAGACCAGCAACACATCCATTGTCTTTGCAGGGGGGAAAAACTGTTTTTGGAGAGGAAAATTCTTGAACTTAAAATAAAACACGTGTTAAAATATGATGTAATCTGAGGGGAGCTTCTTGATGCTTTAAGAAGAAATAGCTTGAAAGAAAAGCATGTTCAAAATACAAATTCAGGAATTAAAAACCTTGGGACTCACCCGCAGCAGAAGATGTTGCTTGTACAACATACAGCAATGTAGACAAGTGTGCAATAAATGATGGCATATCTTCTGAGTTTCTCAAAGGACACACTAAAAAAATGAATGACAGCTTGCCAGATCATACTATTGTCATCAAGGAGGCGTCAAATGTAAAACCGAAGATTGGCAAAACAACAAGGAGAAAATACAGAGACATGCCAGATTTTGAGAAGCACTGCTTACCACCAACTGCCACATCAGATACTGACATTTTTGCAGGTGGAACCAAATATTCCAAACTATCAGTGCTTAAAGTTTATGTTGGTAGACCTCTCATGATTGATGAGGACAACATATGGAGTAATGATCATTTATACATTCAAGTCTATCAAATTGGAAAATGGGTACCACCAGCAGGATTGTGAAATTATCAACATTGATGGGATGTGTAGATGCTTAGAAGGATATAATTTTCACATCGAATTTTTTCAAACGCACGAAATTACATTTCGCTTATGAAAATTATCACCTAGAATTCCTACTGATTCCTACATACATTCCTACGTGACAAGCTCCTTCAAGCTTCCGAACCATGGTGACACCCCCTTCGGAAGGGGAAAATCCACCTCCTTGGCTCCATTCAACCAACCAAGCAATCTAACCAAGACTATTCCAAGTATATCGATTCTCCCCCCAGCTGGCTGCAGTTTGCCCCTCCTGGATTCATTCCCAGTTCTCAAGGACCGGAAGCTCCTCAGTACTTTCCGGTCACGATTGTTGTTGTTTCCGACGTTCGTGCCGGAATCAATCACACCAACCCCATCCCCCAGTATTCAACCAAGACCTAGTGAAGAACAAGCCTGGAGTTTATGCTATATCATACTATATCCTACTCAATTTCGAGGATTCTCCAGCATCTCCATGCAGTTCCTTTTCCAGTATTTTCTGGACCGGAAGACGATTCCGGTCACGACGTTGTTGTTGTYGTTTCCAGCATTTGTGCCGGAATGCAATAACACCAACCCCATCCCCAGTATTCAACCAAGACCTGGTGAAGAACACTGTCTGGAGTATATGCTACATCATATATCATACTCAGTTTTACAGATGATTCCCCAGCATCTCCAAGCAGTTCCTTTTCCAGTATTTTACTAACCGGAAGAAGATTCCGGTCTGGTTGTTGTTGTTTCCGACGTTTGTGCCGGAATCAATAACACCAACCCCAGCCCCCMGTATTCAACCAAGACCTAGTGAAGAACAAACCTGGAGTATATGCTATCTCATCCATCATACTCAATTTTAAAGCAGATTCCCCAGCATCTCCATGCAGTTCCTTTTCCAGTCTTTTACGGACCGGAAAAGTCTTCCKGTCACGACGTGGTTGTTGTTGTTTCCGACATTTGTGCCGGAAAACACCAGCCCCAGTATTCCCCCAGTTGKGTGCAGTTTGCCTCAGCTGGATCCATCCCCAGTTTTCAAGGACCGGAAGCCCCTATGCTTTCCGGTCATGATTGTTGTTGTTTCCGGCATTCGTGCCGGAATCAATCACACCAACCCCATCCCCCAGTACTCAACCAAGACCTACTGGTGCAGACCAAGCCTGGAGGAGTATATGCTACATCATACATCACACTTAGTTTAAAAGAAGATTCCCCAGCATCTCCATGCTGTTCCAGTATCAGTTCCAGTATTTTACAGACCGGAAGAAGATTCCGGTCACGACGTTGTTGTTTCCGGCATTTGTGCCGGMATGCAATAACACCAACCCCATCCCAGTATTCAACCAAGACCTAGTGAAGAACACTGTCTGGAGTATATGCTACATCATACATCATACTCAGTTTTACAGATGATTCCCCAGCATCTCCATGCAGTTCCAGTATTTTCCAGACCAGAAGCAGATTCCGGTCACGATGTTGTTGTTTCCGACATTCGTGCCGGAAAACACCAGCCCCAGTATTCCCCTGGTTGGGTGCAGTTTGCCTCCACTGGATCCATCCCCAGTTTTCAAGGATTGGAAGCCCTTGTGCTTTCCAGTCACGATTGTTGTTGCTTCTGACACTCCTGTTGGAATGCAATAACACCAACCCCATCCCCCAGTATTCAACCAAGACCTACTGGTGCAGACCAAGCCTGGAGTATATGCTACATCATACATCATACTCAGTTTTAAGAAGATTCCCCAGCATCTCCATGCAGTTCCAGTATCAGTTACAGTATTCTACGGACCGCAAGAAGATTCCGGTCAAGATGTTGTTGTTGTTGTTTCCGGCATTTGTGCCAGAATGCAATAACACCAACCCCATCCCCCAGTATTCAACCAAGACCTACTGGTGCCGACCAAGCCTGGAGTATATGCTACATCATACATCATAATCAGTTTAAAACAAGATTCCCCAGCATCTACATGCAGTTCCAGTATCAGTTCCAGTATTTTACAGACCGGAAGAAGATTCCGGTCACAACGTTGTTGTTGTTGTTTCCGGCATTCGTGCCGGCATGCAATAACACCAACCCCATCCCCACTCAGTTTCAACAAAGATTCCCCAGTATCTCCATGCAGTTCCAGTATTTTACGGACCGGAAGAAGATTCCGGTCACGACGTTGTTGTTTCCGGTATTCGTGCTGGAATGCAATAACACCAACCCCACCCCCCAGTATTCAACCAAGACCTAGCGAAGAACAAGCTTGGAGTATATGCTATATCATACATCATACTCTGTTTCAAAAGAAGATTCCTCAGCATCTCCTCCACGCAGTTTCTTTTCCAGTAATTTACAGACCGGAAGAAGATTCCKGTCACGACGTTGTTGTTGTTGTTCTGGTTTCCGGCATCAGTGCCGGAGAGCAATAACACCAACCCCATCCCCCAGTATTCAACCAACCCCAGTTACTCCAGTTGAGCACAGTTTGCCTCAGCTGGATCCAACCTCAGTTCTCAAGGACCGGAGGCCCCAGTGCTTTCCGGTCACAATTGTTGTTGGTTCCGACACTCCTGTCGGAAAGCAACAACACCAACCCCAGCCAGTATTCAACCATGACCTTTGAAGAACAACGCTTGGAGTATATGCTACCACATCATACTCAGTTTTCAAAGAAGATTCCCCAGCATCTCCATGCAGTTCCAGTATCAGTTCCAGTATTTTACAGACCGGAAGAGTTTTCCGGTCAGGTTGTTATTGGTTCCGACATTTGGGCCGGAATGCAATAACACCAACCCCAGTTACTCCAGTTGAGCACAGTCTGCCTCAGCTGGATCCAACCCCAGTTCTCAAGGACCGGAAGCCCCAGAGCTTTCCGGTCACAATTGCTGTTGTTTCCGACCTCTGTGCCGGAAAGCAACAGCAACATCCCCAAGTTTATTTTACCCCGTGACCAGCGACAAAAGAAAGTGATTTATTTGTTCCAGTGTCTTCTTCAAGAAGATAATACCCTGACAGCTGCTCCTAGGCTGGGCTCAGCTGTACTTTGGTGGTGAACGACCTATGACGGTTCCTTTTTTTTTTTCTTTTTGGCTTTTCTTTTTTCTTTTGATTTTTTCTTTTTGACTACATGTGTCCTTGCACACTGGGTTTTTGTCTTGCCTTAATTGGCTTGCCAGTGTGCTTGACACCCATTTCGTTGATCACTAGTATGCAAAACTGTGAACCAACATCTCCTTGATCACTGCGTCTGAACACTTGCCTACGGGTTGGGGATTGGAGACTGCCATCCCACAGGCTTGGCAGTGTGACCCTATTGTTTTATGTCCTCTGAGTCTAGTCCTGGGCCTTGATTGGCCTATCAGTGTGCATAAAACTTGGTCGCTCCTCCATAAACACTCCTCGGAGGGAGGCGCCGCCCCTTGGTGCAGCTAGGAGCATTCTTCTCCTTAGTCAGGTGAAGCTATGGTTCTGGCCATCCTAGTGCCTCTTCTAGTTCACGAGGTTAAATATAATATTAAGATTTTTTTTAGATGCTTAGAAGGTTGAATGGATAGAGATGGTCTATGAAGAAGGAGACTTTTAAAAAAATATTACTTTAAGTTCTAAAACACTGCACCAGAAACAGCMAAATTTTGATGTCCACAAGAATATGAATAAAAAATTTCCCATCACAAGGGAATACTTTTAACTCAATTCCCAATGAATATTGCCAATGCAAGAATTGTTCACAAATTACAGGGAACAAGATCTTCTGAAAATGTGTTGGTTTCAACTTGGTTGTACACAAAAAACAATTGAATTTATGTTCTTGTTGTGCTTTCAAGAGTTAGTAGTAGTAGTAGTAGTAGTAGTAGTAGTAGTAGTAGTAGTAGTAGTACCAGAACTTGTTGTTTCAGTGGTCTGTTTGTTCTTCTTGTACTGATAAGATCACCTCTTCTCTTTACAAAAAACATTGCCACCAACAAGAATAGTAGTACCCAATGTACACAACAAATCAATGGTTATCAGAAACAACAAATAGTCACATTGATTTCATTGATTAGCTTCTAAATTCTTTTCAGAGCAGTAATTTCCATCTTGCTGGCACTAACTTAGTTTTTGCACCATAAGAACTATTTGAGTTAGCAAGCCAATCATGGAAGTCAAAATGAAAAAAGACTAGAATATTTTTTTTTACTGGAATCATTGATGGAAATGGGGAGTCTGAGGGGAGAACAACACTAAAAATCCAGTATGAAGTTTTTTAATGTAGACCATAGTAGAAAATGAATGGCTGTCTTTTAGGACTATCAACAGTTCTTGCAAAGAAATATAGATTGCTATAGATTGCTAATGGTTGCTATTTCTTTGAAAGATACTACAGTGATAGTTTAGTTGCTGATATGCTCATTATTCTTTTAGTAGTGATAAGATTGTGTTTCAACTTTCACTTGCAGCAGTGCACTGTAAGGGACATAATTACAGTACTGTATTTCTCCAAGATGACAGCAGTGTTTTCAGTGGTGATACTGCTAGTAACAGTTCTGTTGGAACAAGTTTTTCTGATGATACCCCTTACTACTACAACAGTGCTCCCTTTGACAACAAAGTTGAAGAACCCCTCCTTGACCGTGACCTCTCTGATTCATCTGATCTGCAGCAGGATGAATTGGAACATCTTCTCAAGGACTCCTCAGTTCTCATAATTCCCACTAAAATTCTTCCTGTTGGTACACACATGTCTTTAGATGGTGATGAAAAAGCACACAACAATGACCAGCATGAAGAAGAATGGAACAACAATGTCACTCAGCATCCATCTCCTTGTGTCAAGAATGTTGTGCAATTCTTTGAACAAGTACAAGACACAAGTCCACCCAAGAGGAGAGGAGATACTGCTGGAAGTATCATTGGTGGTTATCTCCAACAATGAAGAGTCATTTGGTGGGTTTCATTTGAGGATGTCCAGACTGGTAACAGTCAAATACTGTCAACAAAGCTTGCATTAGTGTCATGGTGACATGGAATGGCAAGATGATTTTGGGTGATGATGCAGAGTAGTGGTCTCTTCCCTCCTCTGCCCAGTATACATTGCCTGGAGGAGGCCCAACCCCAGGTCCCACCCATGCTGTTAGGAATACATTGGGTGTCTGCACTAATAAGGTGGAAGGATTGGTGCATTTGTTCTTGTTCTTGTTCTTGTTCTTGTTCTTGTTCTTGTTTGATGAAAGAATCCTTCAGCTGATAGCAAATGATCCCAACCAGTATACATTTGAAGATTGGACTGGAAAGCTCCATATGATGAAGGTTCTAAGCCAGAGTGGATGCCAAAGCTTTCAAAGAATGGAAAATATCACCCTTGTGATTGTGGGATTTGTTGCTTCTGTGTGAACAAAACTACCAGCACCACCATTGCTCATGGAAAAGGTAACTTCAAAGTCACAGGAAGAAATATGCATTGGCAAGTATGAAGGAGTGAAGAGGAACTATTGTGTTGTCTGTGTAGAAGAAGCAAAGCATAGCTATCCTAACTCATCAGTGAGGAGATTGAGGAAGTTGCCATGGGGGACTCCTAGTATGAAAGTGTCAAGGAATGGTTGCAGAAGTTCCAATGTTGCTGTATGTAAAGAGCATTGGAGTAACTTCAACCATCAAGTGTAATGATGTGTTGTAAATGAATACATTTATATTTTTAAAAATATATTCATATAATATTGTTTATAGTGATGAGAGGGGTGTGACAAGCAGAGTAGTAGTGTAATAGTACTAGTAGTAAGAAAAAAAAATCCTAAATTTTTCCGGGTGGCAACATTTGGCAACACGCAACGGTTTTTTTGAAAAAGTTAACTGTAAATCCTACGAGGTCCTACAGACCTCCATGTCATTCTACTCCAACAAATATTTCTCATATTATTGCTAAAACACCATTATCATCATGGTGAGTCTGATACCTCCACAACCACAGCACCCCTGAGCATTAGAAGAAGGGTACATTATGAAGATCTCTCTCTCTCTGCTTAATAAGGTCCTTGAATATTGTTTGTGTTGTATGTACTGATCTCTTGGAGCTACTACTGTAATATAAAACAGGGTGAAATGGCCCAAATTTGTTAATTTTCAGCACTGTCCAGGGGGACAGCTGTATCTTGATAACCAAGCATTGTTGGATCTTTATGGAAATTGGATGAGTGGAAAGAGCAGTATTCAATCACTACACCCACATGTTGGCTTTGCTCAAGGAGCTGTATTTGGTGCAAAATAAATTTTTGGAACAGGGCCTATGGAGCAACAAATTTTGGAATAACAATAACACACCATGGGAGCTTCAAAAACCATATGAAGGAGAGCTCCCTAGGCCAAGCTGAGTTGATGAATCAAAAGAACACTATCAAATTGATGGGTCCATGTATTGACTTTGCTATCAGGCAACTTTTGGTTGAGAAGTTATGAGCAAGAGAGATGGGAGGAGTTAGGGGCAAGAAATGGTGCAACAGAAGCAGCTACTGGTGGGTTCCAAAGCCATAGGAAGGAGGCACCACTGGGCCTAACTGAGTTGAAAAATTGAAAGAACACTATCAAATTGAGGGGAACAGAACAAAGAACTGTTACCAGGTAACTTTTGGTCGAGAAGATATGCAAAAGGAAAAATTTGGCTCTGAAAGTGGATGGAATGGAACAAAAACACTAGCGACTTGCAAAACCATAGGAAGGAGGCAATGCTGGGCCAAACTGAGTTGACAAATCAAAAGAGTACTACTATCAAATTGAGGGGTGCAGAGCAAGAAAGAACTGCTATCAGGAAACTTTTGGTTGAGAAGTTACAGCAGAGGGAGGGCTACTATAAGGTTATTTTTTATTTTTCCAATATTACTAGTGAGGAACAAATGTAAAAAATACACCATCATACTACTACAGCAACAGTTGATGATGCACCAAGAAGACTTTACTGGAGAATGTTGATCTCTACTAGCTATATGAATGGGTTAGTTTTTTATTCTCCATCCTTACACTCCTTCATGAACTTTTGTTTTTCTTCCTTTGACATGCTTTTAATTCTTGTGTCCTTTAAGGCTTTTTGCTGAAGCCTCCTGTACCTACTACTAGCACCTAAAGCAGTGCCTTCTATCTCAATGGCACTTGTCTTGATAGTGGGTGGCCAAAAATTGCAAGTTACTGGGTGATCCCTGTTATTCTAAAATCTCTAAATTTGATAGACTGACAGACCAAAAATTTAGAGAATGCGACTCTAGACTTAGTATATTTAGAACCATTGAAAGCGCCCTGTCCTAAATTTAGAGTGGAACCCATGTATAAAATTTTCCAGTCTGTTGAAAGATTTAAGACACATATCAAAAATGTGTGTGTTCCTTTGTGTGCCTCTTTTTAGTCATTGCGTCGGAGTATAGTTATGATTCCAAATTCCTAAAAAGACTGCGATGAAGGCAGCCTTCCTCTCAGTCTCCTGTCTGTTAAAATTTTGATCCCCATTATTCTAAATACCCTAGATCCCTACATTTAGCGCTTTAGAGTATTTAGAACAACAGGAATCACCCCCCACTGTAATTTTGGTTGTAATTTTATCAACTGGTAACAATTTCGCACTACTGTACAATATATACTAGTACTACTAGTACCTCCTTAAAAGACTGCAATGAAGACAGCCTTCCTCTCAGTCTGTCTGTTAAAATTTTGATTCCCATTGCATTATTTGAAATACCCTAGATCCCTACATTTAGCGTATTGAAGTATTTAGAATAACAGGAATCACCCACTGTAATTTCGGCTGTAATTTTATTGAAATAACTGGTAACAGTTTCGCACCATTGTACGATTGTACGATACGAGTCCCAGGTACCGTCCGTACGTACGTATGATACTGTTTTTTTTCGAGAGTTGAATACAGAATACACGCCACTCGAACTTCGTCATCGACCGATACAGAATCAATACGATACAGTAACAACTGACATGGACTCGGTCGTTCTTTGCATTCCTCCCACCAAGTAGGATCAACAGGAGTTTTCATAACATCTCATCCGTCCAATGTCAAGGCAAAGCCAATAACAATGAACGCTAGGAAATCTCTGTGGTTAAAGAAAAAGATGATTCTAAGATTGTCTTTCGTCACATTTGTCTCTTTTCTTGTTTTGATGACAAATTTGTGGAATGCCCCGCTAGTATTTTCCTTCCAACAGCAACCACTTGCAAGCGGTGGAAGTGGGACTAGACTCGTTGGCAACAATGGGATTCGCTCGATGTTTTTACAGCGTCCTCCGTCGTTAATGGATGTTGCAGTGAAGGTTCAAAGACCCAATGTCTTGGAAAACGTATCATTGGATTTATACGTAATGCGAAGTATTCTTGCTCCCCTTTGGAACAAACTTATTCAAAGCAGAAATAAGAAAAAGAACGGGGATTCCAACAGCGATGATGATGAGACGAGCCTCCAAAGGAGTAACACTGATTCTGTAGCATTGATCGATGCATGGGGGGAAGGATTTGTCAATGAATTGGATTACAGAGCCGAAGCTAATGCAACGAAAGCTTTCACAAAAGCTATGGAAGAACGCGGATTGGGTTCAGTTGTATTCGCACCCGAGGTTGTTGACGAATTGTCGTCAATGCATGTTCTAACCACAAAATGGGTTGAGGGGGAACGTCTTTCCACAAGTAACGAAGATGACGTGCCGCGACTGTGCGGTGTGGCTCTCAATACCTATCTGACAATGCTTTTGGATACTGGCACCCTGCATTGCGACCCGCATCCAGGGAATCTGCTGCGTACTCCAGACGGGAAGCTCTGTATTTTGGATTGGGGAATGGTCCTTAACGTTCCGAACGACCTGCAGTTGTCGCTCTTGGAATTTATTGCCGATTTGAATGCTGAAAATTACGAAGATGTCCCCGACGATCTGGTCAAACTGAAGTTCGTCCCAGAAGATAAAATCGACGATTTACGAAAGAGTGGATTGACTGTGGGAATTGCGAAGATGTTGACTCTGGCTGCAGAAGGTGGTGGGCCCAAAGGAGCCATGAAACGCATGGTAGCTCAAAACAAGGAGAAGTACGCCGAGGCCTTGAAGGATTTTGATGATCTTGATAGCGAAGAAGCAACAAAAGAGCGTCAAAGGTTATTTCAAGAAGACTGGAAAAAGCAAATGGTTGAGGATGCTATGTCGCGGGAAGAAGGTAGTGCAGCGTCTACATCGACCACCGTGGACCTAACGACTAAGATAGAATCCATGCGGCAGCAAAATACAGATGTATTTGCAATTCCTGATTATTTCGTATACATGTCCCGAGCTTTCGCCACACTAGAAGGAATCGGGTTGTCGTCCGATGAAAATTACTCCATTTTGAAGGAATGCTATCCGTATCTTGCGAAAAGGCTTTTGTCGGATGATTCAGAGCGTGCAAGAAAGGCCCTCCGAACTTTATTGTACGGCAGGGACGGGAAGGAGTTGAATCTGACAAAACTGAGAGAGTTATCCGACGGATTAGAGAGCTATTCCGCATCTACGTCTAGTGTAGAAAGTGGGAATCTGACGAGTGACAATAGCGAGGGACGCAATGCTGCAATCGAGCAAGTGGCCAATGTAGTCCTTAGTGAAGATTCCAATTATGTGCAGGAGGTTTTGTTGCGGGAAACGGCTGTTGCATTGGACGCAACTGTCAGAGACGCCGTCACCAGTCCGCTTGCACCAATCATCAGGAATATTCCTGTCACTATTGATGTAGACGGTGGGGCTTCTACAGCCCCTCCTCCGGCGATCCTTCGTCCATTTACCCTTCCATTCGAGTTGGCAAAGGCTTCATTTGATTTGCAATCCGTAGATGCAATTGACGAGAGACGTCTTGAAAATGTTCGCATTTTAAGGAATCTTGTTTCTGGCTCGAATCAAGACCAGTCTTCCACGAACAGCCAGAACAATATTAGTCCTGCTGGTGCTCCTGCCACAGAGACGATTGGCAAGTTAGCTAGAGAAGCAGGAAAACGTCGACTAGCTCTTGCCCGTATAGGAGTTCGATTTGGTGGGACCATGGCATCCGTGCAAGCCGAGCGGTTGCGAGAACGGTCAATATCTGCCAGCCACCAAAAAGATCGCAACGTGGCTGAGATTTCTAAGATCCTGGCGTCCAATGGAGCGGAAAGACTGGAGGCATTAGCGGACGCCTTCAGCTCATTCGACAACGAATTGGCAAGGAGAGGAAAGTGAAACTTAGGGCGGTCGAAAAATCTTATTTCCTACTGGCGTTCTAAGCGATTTCTTCCTATGAAATCTGCTTCAAGTAAAATCGAAGTACAGATGAGAAGATATTACTGAGAGTGATTGGCCATTGTTTGCAAGAAGTTGCTATTTCATGTAGTTTCTTCCTTTATTTTTCAAATTAATAGACATAGAGTTAAATGAAACAAACTTTGTAGTTCCTAGAAGTGGGACAGAAACAGGCACAATCGACTGAATACCTTCGCCGCCTGGCAACACTAACGTATATAAGTGACTTTTTCCAGCTTGAAAAGCCTATGCGTTAAAAGCCTGTTCAAAGTCGGCCTTGATATCCTCCAGATCCTCATAGCCAACCGAGACGCGGATCGAGGCGGGCTTGATCCCAGCAGCAGCTTGCTGGTCAGCGTTGAGTTGCTGGTGCGTCGTAGCGGATGGTTGAATCACGAGCGTTCGAGAGTCGCCGACGTTGGCAAGATGGGCGCACATCTTCAAATTGGTGACGAAGCTTGATCCTTTCGCCTTCTCGTCATCGGGATCCTCTCCCTTCAACTCAAAGCAGAAAACTGACCCAAAGCATCCGGGGCGGAAGTACTTTTTAGCCTTCTCATGGGATGGATGGGAAGGAAGAGAGGGATGGAGGACAGAACCCTCCTTCACCTTCGGATGGGTTGACAGCCACAACGCAAGTTCGTTGGCATTCTCGCAATGGGCCTTCGCTCGAAGAGAGAGTGTCTCGATCCCCTGGATGAGCTGCCATGCATTGAATGGAGAGATGCATCCTCCCATATCGCGAAGCGTCTTGACACGTGCTAGAAGAATGAAAACCGTGTTGGTCGCCTTGACCCCAAAGATTGGGTGCTCTGCGAAGACTCCTCCGTGATACGATTCCTGAGGACCACCGATGAGTGGAAACTTGAGTGAGCCGTCGGCGTTTTTCACACACCAGTCGAAAGAGGAACCATCAACGATGATTCCTCCGATGGAAGTTCCGTGCCCACCGATCCATTTAGTGGCCGATTCTACCACGATGTCAGCACCAAGTTTGAGCGGACGACATGCGTAACCTCCCATGCCAAAAGTGTTATCACACACGATAGGGATTTTTGCCTCTGTGGCAATCTCCTTGATTGCATCGAAATCCGGAATCGTTCCGCTCGGATTGGCGAGTGTCTCGATGTAAATGGCCTTAGTTTTGTCGTCGATGAGGCTCTTTACTTGATCAAGGTCGGAGACGTTGGCAAACCTGGCTTCGATTCCAATGTGCTTGAAGGAGTAAGCAAACTGTGTGAAAGAGCCTCCATATAGCTCAGAAGCAGTGACGAAATTGTCTCCCGCCTGCATGAAGGTCATTAAGGCATGCATTTGCGCCGACATGCCCGAGGCTACAGCAAGAGCACTTGGGAGGGTGGTAGCGTTGTCGCAATCTCCATGCGCCGGGCAAGGAGCCCCCTCGAGCTTGGCCATTTTATATTCCAGTACATGCGTCGTGGGATTCATCAGACGTGTGTAGATCGGCCCCAATTCTGACAGACTGAAGAGACTGGCCCCATGCTCCGATGACTTGAATTCAAAGGATGTTGACTGGAATATTGGTGGCGCACGCGCTCTGTTGTCTGTGTCCAGTTTGTGCCCATGGTGAAGCATGGTTGTGGAAAATCCCTCACCATCGTCGACGTATGGGTTTGTTTCAGGCATGGTCTTCAGTTGTCAATCCTTTGCAAAGATGGAGATCAAAATGTCAATATGAGAGGATACAGCGAGTACGTTCTGTAGAATAAGATCTGGAGAAACGAGAAAGATTGAGGCGGAAAATTTGTGAGGGGCGCAATGATTTTGTACGGTAGGGGACGCTCGTAATTTCCCTCTACCTGCAAGGTAGCTACCGATTTCTTCTCTTTCTCACATTGCTTCTGTAAACTTCAGTACAGTATTGAACAAAAGCAGATTTTAAATGGGTTCTTCGTTGTGATTGGTCTCCTTCGTGTGTTCGCTTCATGCAAGACACATTCTATTTATCGCGTAGGGTGTTCTGCATTTTCATTTTCGAGTTCAGAGCGGAGTCCTCAGGATCAAAGAAGAACACTTTGGAATTCGCAAAGCTTTTTCTCTATCTGTTCCTTACTCGGCGCTCACGAATTCACGCTTAGATCCCCCTTTTGCATTCGTCCCCCACATCTTGTGGGCCACATCTTGTGGGTTGTTTCATGCAAAAAATAATCCAAAAACCAGAAATAACCCAAGAACAAGCCATGAAATGAGAGTGATTTTGGTCAAAAGAGAACAAAGTAATTAAGTCAAGTCACTATTTTGAAGGAAAACCAGGTGCCTTGAAAATTCCTGTTTTTTTTTTGTGAGGGTTTTTTGATATATTAGTAGTAGTAGTAGTAGTACTGGTAGTATGTAAAGAATCACGAAAGGGGGCAGGATGCATAATGTGGTGGGGTTCCAGAGGGCCCTTTGCTGTACTGCTACTAGTACTTAAGAAGGGGAGGTGCAGTGCAGCTTACAAGTAGTAGTGGTAACTCCTCTATGGAAATAATGAAAAATAGATCTAGGCTACTTGTTCAGTAGTCAAATGACCTACTTTAATAATAATGTACCACCAGTGAATATCATCAGCATGAATGACCTTACTTCAGTTGTTGAATATACCAGTAGTAGTACTAGCAAGAACTAGTAGTAGTACTACTAGCTGTTTGTCTATTACACAACCACCAGCAGTAGTAATACTAGTTTGTGGTGCTTCTGGATTAACACTAGTATTTTGCTGTTTAGAAATCCTACTCTGCTTATTCTTCTTGTTAAATGTATTTTGATTCTCCCTTAATACCTAGTAGTAATGATGCCTCTTCTACTAGTTCACAGGGCGGTGAAATATAATTTTTCTTTCTTGTTGTAGTGGTACTACTTGTGGGAGTCAGAATAGTTCTTGAAATTTTGATACAACGAAACAATGAATATTGGGCAACGACAATGGGGGTCCTGTCAAAACGATTGTTTTTCAAGGGATTGTGTTTTGCGATCGCGTAGTGAAAGTTTTGATGACAGTGACAATGCATTAAGCGTTGTTCAATGTCGAGTTTGTTCTTCTTGTTCAAAGGTGTGTGAACATATTGTTTGGTAGGGTCTTGTGATGACGAGGAGAGAGCACGCCTAAAAAAAGATCACCATGGTGGTGATAATTTTTATTGGAAGGGTGAGGTGTCATAACCTGTGGTGGGAGTGACTATCTAATAGTGATGGTGTAAATCGAGTGCTAGAAGAAAAGTGAGTCAATATATGTATGGTGTGTACTATGAATCATAGTGCAATGGATAGGATACGTACGTACCGGATAGGATATGTACGTATTGAAAAGGAAGCATACGTACATACGATGCTCCCTCGGAATGGAAGGACATACCATTCCTACCTACATATCATAATA